GGCCCGGGAATAATTGAAGAACGACGACATTATCGACAATTAGTAAACATTTGCTATTAACATATAATTTCGATAATATTATTATTAAATGTGTGATTTTTATTATATAAATGCTGTATAAATAAGTACGCATACTTTTAATACTATGATATCTTATATATGTATTGCTGAAAAATTACAATTTCTCTGTGCAGTTATCATTTCTGTTGATAATTAAACTCGAATGATAACATTAAAATTATAAATTTTAAATAAAAATCAAGTATTATAAGTTTTAAACATATATACATGTCTGCGAAATTATTAAATCGTGAAATTAGTACCATATTATCAATTTCTTACTCTTATAATCAATTCAATTTTAACAATCACGCGACTTCCATAAGAATCGACCGTTTTTAATAATATCTTGTCGATGTAAGGAGATAGGAGATCAAATTTGAGTATCAAAATTAGCTCGAAGGGCTCGAAGGGCGGTATTCATAGTCAGATCTTATATTTAAGACCGTCTTAAGTACAGTTTTAAGAAGTCATGAACCAATCAGAAGGCCGTATTAGCAACTTAAGACATTACTTAAGACGGTCTTAACCCCGGATCTACAATAGGGTTTTAAGTCGTAAGAAATTGACCAATCACAGTCGAATTCGAGGAGAATAATCGACTATGATTCGTCCATTTCTTATGGCTTAAGGCTTAAAACTCTATTGTAGATCCGAGGTAAAATAAGAACCGACTATGAATACCGGCCGAAATGTGGCTTAGGAAAACACACGGAAAATTGGGATGATGCGATTTGAGTGCCATTGCGGCAAAAGCTAGAAGTATGTGGTACATTTACATCGAGCCCATTTTGATACTCAAGTTTGATCTCCTTCTATCTCCTTCTTATTATTCCATGGTGCCCAATGTGCTATATGTGAGAACATGCGGTTTTTATTTATTTAGATTTGTTTTATCTTGAATTAGCAACGTGATTAAAGTAGACCATTGTGTCGATAAAACAAAATTAACATAAAATATTATAATATAGTGATTATTAAAGTAAATATCAATGAACAATAGTACACGACATTTGGATTGTTCAAAATAAGAATGTTGTTAAGTGTAGTACAGTTATCACTTAGATCCATTCGTGGCACGAAACTTTTAAGAACAGTCAATTTAAGATCAACAATTAAATGCAAATATAGTACTAAATGGGTTAGTCGAAAACCTGTTGCTATTGTCAATCAAAATGAACTTTTTGATACTGATGATACAACCAAAACTGAGGAGCAAAGAACTCCTAGAACACGTAGAAGGAAATTAAGAATCAATACAGCTGAAAAGGAAGAAAAAAAGAAGCAAAAAGAAAATGAAATTGAAGAAAGTACTACAGAACCAAAATATATAGCCCTTGATCCAGATGATAAACTCATAAGGTATATAATTTTCTGAATAATGCTCAAACGATCTTTAAAAAGTATAATTTTATAAACAATATATACATATTTCATGTTTCAGCTCATTAATGATAGATATTAAGACAAAAAAGAAAAGAGAAAAGAATCGTCAAATGCTATTAGAAGGCCTTCGATTAATTGAAGATGCAATTCAGGCAGGAATAGTACCAAAAGTAATATTTTTCAGCAGATTATCTGACATATTGCCGCTGTCACTTCCGAAGGAAGTGAAACTATATAAAATTCCATATCGTACAATTCAGTTGTGGTCTAATTTAACAACTTCTCCTGGAATAATTGGTAAATATTATAATTTCATAGATCTCGAAAGAGATGACCGACAATTAGCAAAACGAACAATAGTCTATCAAAGTATACACATATCTATATAATTTTAGTTTTTTGTACTATTTTTTGGTACAGGAATTTTCGAAATCCCAGATGTAGATACTAAGGAACCTGCTGAGAATGCTATACCTTTGACTATTATCTGTGATAATATAAGAGAACCAGGAAATTTAGGAACTATTGTAAGAGCAGCTGCTGCTGTTGGTTGCGAAAAATTATTGTTAATGAAAGGTATTTTACACCATTATCAATTGACTAATTCCATAGTATACAGTTTTTCATTAATCAGATTTTTGTACTTTAGGATGTGTGGATTTATGGGAGCCCAAAGTTTTGCGTAGTGCTATAGGTGCACATTTTCGTTTACCAATATTTACATCTATTTCATGGGATGAAATTCCAACGTTAATAAGTGACGAATCTGCAATTTTTCTAGCAGACAACAATATAGCATATGAAAATGTTTTGACAGATTTTAAAATGAATCCAGACACAAATGAAGACTCTTTTATCGAAGTTAATGATAATTGTGTGAAACAAGATAATCTAGATGCGCATAATGAACAAACTAAAGATAATATGATAAACCAAGTAATAGATCAAACTAAGACATATAAATCAACTGCAAAAACTAAATTGCTAGTAAAACAGTTAGTATCTCAACTTCCAGTTAAACCTTATTATGCATTAGATTTTACAAAAAGAGAAATGGTACTTATTATTGGTGGAGAAACCGAGGGTATAAGTCTCGAATCATGTAAATTATTACGTTCAAGAAATTGCACTCGTGTTAATATACCATTGACTAATGGTATTGACAGCTTAAATGTTGGTGTAGCTGTTGGTATTGTTACATTTGAAATGAAAAGACAATTTGTAACTCGTAAAATTGAAGATGAATAAAATTATTCTTAAATGTGTACAGATAATGTTTTTCAACCAATTACTATTATGATTACTATTATTATTATTAATAAAAATATCCACACAAAAGGTTCTGTATTGTTTCCTTTCATAACTATTCTGTTTATTATAATATTATTTCTTTTTGTAATTAATAATCATAAATGTATGGAAATTCATCGTAAATTTAGGTTTTGATATTTCTGATAATATTTCGGGTGTTACTGTATTAATATTTTGGCACATATAACTTTTAGGATTTATCACAGCTTCTTGAATTAATTTTTATACAGAAATAAAATTACTGTCAAAATATGTTTTTCATTTATTTTTGCTTCAAAGCCAATTTTGAGAACTTCATTCAAGGGAAACCATTTCATTAATATTTTTTTTTATATTAGTGAAAAAGTTCATTAATGTTGCATCTTTTACTCTATCCTGTATGGTTTTTATTATTTATGAGAAATAGAACTTTATTATGTTCATCTCGTGTACTTTCCCCAACTTTACGATAAAATATATTTTTGAATGGTACAATATATCATGATAGATCATGCATGACAAATAACAATAAATTTTCATTCGTAATATAATAATATGATGAGAAATCTGCATTTACTTTTGTTGTTGCAAATTTGTAATAGATTACAAAACATTTCCTGTAATTCTACGATAAGATATGTTCTGAATCACAATTGATTACGAGAAAAAAATTTTAATATAAGCTCTCTATTCATTGATAAATTCCATCAAAATTATAAAGATAATTATAAGATTTCTATCGTATTCCAACAAATGAATTCGCTTTCAATAGACAATGTAAGAAAAAGATGGGAAGCGATAACACATATTTCCGAGTACATTTTTTTTGAAATACAAAAGTGAAGCCATAGGTTACCATAGGAAATGATTTTTTATAAATATTATATTTTCGTAATTCTATTCCTATTGTTTTCTATCTTTTATAATCGGCAAATTCGAAGAAGTATATGTCTATGTAAAAAAATTTATCGACATTTTTGCGCTATAATAAAGTGTGTGTCTGAGAAGGATATTTCAGTCGCACCCTCAATTGGTGCACGCTTCTATTGATTTTTATTACTTGATTTAAATATAATCGTTCCAAGTAGTTGGGCTCAATAATACTATCGATTTCAGTTAACCAAGTCACATTCATAATACACATACATGCACACATAATATGTACATATCTAACAGCAATTTAGAGAGCAGTTTATAATTTCCATAATCATACGACGATAGAATGATAGGTTTGAGAGCGATTGATAATCTTATCGATTATAGACAACATAAATTGACATTTTGTGTGCTATACGTTCAACATAATTGTAATTAATATTGCATTCGTTTTTTCTGTTGTAATGTATATCTAGGATGTGAGAGAATAGATTACAGTTATTTACCTTGATCCTGATTACATCCTAGGATTAATAGAAATTTAGTTGGAATTAAGTTACTCTGGGTGTATTCCGAATTACGCACAAAGCGCATGATGCATCATTTGTCCTTGTTGTTCAACGAAAAATAAAGAAGGATAAAATGATATGTGCTTCATGTATAATTCGAAACGCACCCAATACTTTATTTCTATCATAGAGAGGTAATTATTAATAATAAATTATTAATAATTTTGGTAATAAATAATGTCGCCTGCAATAGATCGAAGGTAACGTGTAAAAAGACATCATATTTTTTAAATTCAAAAAAACAATGAATGTTTGATTTAAAATGATATCTGCTCGTATATTAAAAACACATTACATGTATTACATTGTGTTACATGTATACATTTAGTATATATTTCGTATTTAGTACGTGCGTACGTGCGTGTCTATCTTCGTGTGCTACTATTCGAATAATTGGAATAAGCCAAAAAAGAATAAAGATTATCAGAAATAAAAATGCGTATAAGTAAACAAAAATTATATAAGATTTAGAATCGCTAATTTATCACAAACTATACTGAAAAAGCTATATCTATTACATTGAACTATACTCAAAACTAAACTATTCTCAATACTAAAGTATATAAACTCTAAATTATACTCGAAACTATATATACTCAAAATTATACTTTATGCATCATGCTCAAACATATACTCTTTTGGCTATTTATAACTTCATTTTTGTAACATGTTAAATGCTGAATATGAAGTTTTTAAAATCTGAAAGAAAAATATAAAAAATATTAATATACATAGAAGATGATGCATTTATGTAAAAAATTCTGATTGTATTTTCGTACGTACGCAACAAACATCAATATTACCACAAATCGCGTATCTTCATATTTGATACATACTATATCAAATATTTATTTGGACACCAAATAATACTAACATTGTTGTAAGACTGAATGGATAAAGTTATCAAGAAGCTGCTAGTCAACTTTACAGGAATTGTGCTACGTATCATGATCATCAACAATCCTTTCTTTTCATTGATCGATAGTAATGGCCAATCCATACGATAGATAGCGTCTGCTATGCTCGTACTCTGTTAACATTAATACAAATAGAGTTATTATTACATAATAATATCGAACAGTCTTAATGATATTATTATAGTCTTATACACAAGCGTACACGCATGTGCATGCATTAAATACATTCTTACTGTATTCAAGTATAAAATAGTTCAAATTTGTTCTAGACATATAATTTGTTAGATTATTTTGCAAACCCTTGTAAAAAAATTAAGTTTTTCAAAAGTACCCGCCATTTTCTATTAACTTACAAAATCGATAAACTACATCTATTTCGTATAGATTATAGCGTATATGATAGTTACTTTAAGCATGACTTCGTTTCCAGACCAGCAGTAAACGAAGATTTGTACAAACATGCAAATGGTATATACTAATAAAGATACAGCTGCAGACAGTTCCTTAATGTGCATTGACAAGTAATACACACTTGTACATAATACCAGTATACTACTAAAGAACTGAACAAAGAGAACTTGGTTGAATGTGACATTTACCGCTTTGGCGTATCTGTAATGGTGTCTATGTTAGCCGTGTACTATACTGCATATGAGTATAAAACAATCACTAATGCTCTCATGCATTATTTATGCAAACTTAAGAATTACTTCACCTTTATCCGGGAAAAAATGTTTTATATATAATGATATATAAAACATTCTTTCCCGAGTAGGAAGTACTTTTTCCAACACCGCGAAATTACTGTACAAGGATTGTCCCCGGATTTTTTACATAAACTTTAACAGTATACTCTATGAACTGAAATAAGAAAAATATATTGTATAAACATATAATTCCTGAAATTCTTTATTAAAAAGTTATGAAAAGTTAACAAAAGTATGAAATGTGTAAGAAATAATTTTTACTTTTACATGTCAAAATGCCATTCGCCCAAATTAATGAAAGAGCAAACTTTTACAGAGAGGTTTCTTCTATCCTTCTCTAAAAAGGCGATAAATTCAGAATTACATCGATATCAAGCTTGTACTGATATAGACAGACCGCAGTTTGAAGTGCAACATTAGGTTAATTATTTCGTACACATTCTATACTTTGTTATAGCTTTTGCTAAAGCATTTTAGGAACTTTATATATATATAATACTTTTTTTTATCTTAAATCATAGAACATACCATTAAACTTTGTATGAAAAATCCGGGAACACAATATAATTAAATCACTTTGAGACTATATATATGTCCTACTTCTGAGCTTGTAAAAATTATCTATTAATTTTAAACAAAATTTTAAACAAAATTAGTTCAATTATTTTTAAATAATTTTCCATTATAAATACTAATGTTACCTTAATGAATAATAGCAGTTTTTAAATGTAATGATTAAATGCATGTATGTACATATACTCGCGCGCGGTATGTATATATATATATAACGTATGTGTATGTATATGTGTATATATATATAACGTAACATATATATAGCGTAAAAACGGATTCTTACGTAACTTACTTGTAAATGCTGAGATGATGATGTATGCACTCTGACAGTGTTGTTTTGTCTTCATTCGACAAAAAGCTTTCACGTCCCAGATATTTAATTGTTTTATTAATTATTAATTTGTGTAGACGACTTTCGAGTATTTCAAACTGAGCACACGTTTGTAAAATCAATCCAAAGACTAAGGTTTCCGTGCCAACATTTATTACGGTGGCAAAAATTAAAGTTATAATCTGATGAATAGATATAATCCAAAACGTCGTAGATACATTGTAATTACATGGCAGCCATATTCGATAAGGCAGGTGACCTTGCATAACGTTTAATACTGATCCTATTGTAGTGCCTGTAACGGAACTTGTTGCTAAAAGTGAGTATTTTATCGAGTATGATCTGCAAACGTAAGCCGAGATGAAATTTTATAAAAACTTTTATCCATTTATTTATGTTTTTAATTTAATGAAATTTATAATCATAAGATTTATAATTACTGTACTATATTTAATTATTTTGTACATGTGTTGTGCAAATTATTACTATATAATTTAAAATGATATTGGAATAGGAAACTCCTTCAACTATATATATAAAAGTTTGTTAGACAGAATAGAAAATTACTACATTTTTATGTAAAAATGCAAGTATGCCCTAAAATGTAAGATCAACAAAATGTTTTAAGTTATAATATTTTAATATTGGGACGTTTTAAGAAAGATATGAACTCACCTGATGAAATTATCAAATTTTGTTTGTATAGCTACTTCATCCTCGTCTCGAGGTTTATATGGTGCTTTCAATAATATTTGCACTAAGTTGATGATCTCGTTTCGACGTACCACAACGACAGTCGCTTTACAACAAACGGCAACAATGCTCAAAAACGTTAGAGTATTAGTAGCAAAATCATCGACATTATTGACAACAAGAATTATATCCATAAATTGAGTTAATAGTAAAAAATATTCCGAAGATATTATCATAAAGGTAAATATATTATACAGAAGCTTGGCACCATTTGATGACCATTTAACAGGTCGCCATATACCGCCAATGGTGTATATAAAAAAATTTAGAGAAAGTATTTGCATGTTTGGATCTCTTTCCAAACAACTTATCGAATATTGTACAGAAGTATAGCTTCTTTTTACATGTAAAGTATCTAAAAATGTGGTTTAAAACATTTTGAAAATTATATTTTCTGAAATATATTAATTAAATCTGAATATATTATGTTTGAGAAAAATTAAATTTATGTTTTATATTTAGTATATCTAAAAGTAATATAATATTTTATAAAAAATAAATTGTGCTATTAATAAATACTACAAATTAATGTTTAAATCATACACTGATTTGCAATTGCGACTGTCCACTTGCAACAAATTTTATTTATTTAACTTACAAACTTGGATACAATGACATCACGAATTGCGGATAACTTTTACTTATTCACAGTACAGTGTATGATTCGTGTGAATACAACTGCAAAAATAGTATTTATGAATATTTACTGCGCACCTTTTTCGGAATATCTTCTTAGAATTTTAGCTAGTAATAACAGTATTAACAAATACTAATTAACAAATACTAATGTAATATGTTATTTTAAATTTTATTTAAATATGTTATATTAAATTTTATTTTAATGTAATCGAGAGCACGCATCTTACGATAGACTACGTACAGTTTATTCTTCAATGTCTTGTCAACCGCAGTATCATCATTTATTATGGAGTGCATGTCTTTTGCGTTCTTGTGAATAATAAATATAATAACCGTTAATTGTAAAAGTTTTCCTATTTCCAACCATCGAGGGGCATCGTCCTTCACGGTCAAGCATATTATTTCCTGTTGAATAAAATATTTGTATGTTTTCATATTTATCGGAAGTACAAGGAATATCATATTTTCCGCAAAGCCTTTCATTTTATTACGTATGAGTGCGAGACCCAGTATAGCGATAAAAGTGATGTGTAATAAACTTCTAATAGATTTCTTGAATTATTTCTCTGTGTATGACAAGTATCTACAAAGTATGACAAGTGTTCGGGAAAATGTATATAACAATCTTACATGTATGTTTACAACGTACACGTATATTTCGAATTGTGCATTGATTTCCTAATGTAAGAATTTAATTAGAAATTAAATATGGTGAGTATAGCTTAATCATAGCTAATCGTAGCAAAAATGATATTGTCTATTTTTTTACATCATCTATTTTAGAGCTGGAAATGAAGTCACATTTTTGATCAATATATTTGTCGATATTTTCAATTTATAGTATGACTTGTAGGTAAATTTAACTGTATTATCGGGAATCAGGGTTGGTAAATACTAATGTTTTTTTTTAAGAATAAAACGTATTGTGTTTCTTCTTAAATATGTTTTTAATGCTTCAAATATGTTTTAAACAGTACTATAAAAAAAATATTTAAAACATTAAAAACATCAATTTAGCATGTTTTAAACTGTTTAAAACACGTTTAAAACATGTTTTTTACCAACTCTGTCGGGAATAGATACACGAACGGAATCCATGTACTGATGTAAGAGAATTAACTCTTTCATATCAGTACATTTTTTTATAACAAGGACGTTCGAAGAAATATATATCTATTACTATATATATAGAAAAAATTTATTGATATTTTTGTGCTATAATATCAGATGTGTCTGAGAAGGTTATTTCATTCGCACCCTCAATTCGTGCGTCCCTCTATTGATTTCTATTACTTGATTTATATCTCTAATAAATCCAAGTAGCTGGGCCCACTGTTACTATCGATTTCCATTAATCAAGTCACGTATGTAGGTACAAAAAACATTTGCATATACACGTACACATATCTAACAATAATTTAGAGATTATAATTTCCGTAATCATATGACGAATGATAGATTAGAGGGCGATAATTTCGTCTATTGTGGACAATATAAATTAACATTTTAATTATGTGCTATACGTTCAACATAATTGTAATTAACATTGCTTTCTTTTTATCTGTTGAAAGATATCTGTGAGAAGAAATTACGGAATACAAGCTGTTATTTATCTTGAGAATTTAACATTTATTATATTTAGAATTTAGATTTCATTTACAGACCATCAATAATTATAATTTTGTACGAACATAGAAATGATATACCAACAAGGTTACAATTCCGGATTCTGAAATATGTGTCGACGTGTGAAATACATTTAGTACATAGTATTAAGATTTAAAAATAATATATGGAGAGCATCTGATTACGTCCCCCCCCCCTTTCTAGATTAATAGATATTTAATAAATCACTGTAACTTATTTCTGTTACTACATGGCAAAGAGACAATTAATTCCACTTACTGACGAATTTGTAATATATTTTGCGGTAGATTATATATGTACATCAGTTTTCTCAGCTTCAACAAAATTTGTATAACTTTATTGCCATTAATTGCATTCATTAGTCATTAAACGTCGAATCGGCGGTGAAATTATATCCATGATATTTCCTTCCATCATGATCACATCGATATCGATTCAATATCAATTCAACGAGTCATTACTCTCTGCAGGATATTTATGTTTATTTAAGGCATTTACGCGAACACATTGTTGTTGATATTCATGCACATTATTTTCCGCTTTATGTAAATACTATAATTAGATAAATATTTAACTTGCAATGATTTGGAGTCTTTTACAGTTTTTTTACACATTATCGATAACATCATAGGATGAAATATTTGTATGACTTTTCATGTTATCTGTAACAATTCAACGCAAGATCGTATTTTCTGCGAATAATGAATTTGTATTATTGCATAAAATATAAGTACAATGTGACGAGAAAGGTAACGCACACAATGTGTCTAAATACTTCCCAAGCTAACTCTTCGTATATTCGCTTGCCAAGTATATGATGAGTGAATTGAAAAACACTGAATTACTTCTACATATAAAAGATGTCATCCGCAAAAGAATGTCGAAGGTAGAAAACGTATAAAAAGAAATTATATTTTTTAAATTCAATTAATATTCCATTTAATATGATTTCTGCTTTTATCTTAAAATACATTATTGTATTACATTGTGTTACACGTATACGTTTAGTATGTACGTGCGTATGTGCGCGCCTGTCCCCGCGTGTACCAATATTCGAATAATTGGAATAAGGAATAATGTTAGAAGTAAAAATACGTAAATAAAATTATAAGATTTAAAATATTGCTAATTTATCAAAACTGTACCAAAAAAAATTATACTATAATAAAAACTATATTGTACTCAAAACTGCACTCAAAATTATACTGCAGTATACATCATTTTCGTATATACTCTTGATTATAAATACTTTACTTTTGTAAAACGTTAAATGCTGAATATGACGTTTTCAGGATCTGAAAGTAAAATAAGAAAAACATTGATATACGCAGAAGATTATACATTTATGTGAAATCCGATTGTATTTTCGTACGTACGCGACAAATATCGATAATATCAAACAGCATATCTTCACATTTTTGACATACTTATGTCAAATATTTATTTTGACACCAAATGATACTAACGTTGCTATAAGACTGAAGGGATAAAGTTATCAAGAAGCTGCTTGTGAACTTTACAGGAATTGTGCTGCGTATCATGATCATCAATAATCCTTTCTTTTCGTTGATTGATAATAATGGCCAATTCATATGATATACAGCGTCTGCTATGCTCATACTCTATTAACATAATGTAAATAAAGTTATTATTACATAATAATATCGAATAATATTAATGATATTATTATGTAAGTCTTATACACGAACGTGCACGCACGTTTACGCATTATATTAAATATAATTCATATATTAAAAAATGGATATTCTTATATCGCAATCGAGTTCAGAATAGTTCACATTTGTTGGAAACATCATATTCGTTGTCCCAGTAAGCAATAAACATTTTAGAACATTTCAACAACATTGCAGCAACGTTGTAACATTAATATAATGTTCCATTGCTGTATCCATTATTAATGTAACATTGCTAAAATGTTTCAAAATGTTTCTTGCTTACTGGGATATCTTGTAAAATCTTACAATTAGTTGAGTTGTACAAAAACATCCGCCATTATTTTCAATTAACTCACAAAATCAATAGTAAGATGCATCTTTTTTTTATGGATACTATTTTGAATGGATTATAGAGTATACATGATAATTACTTTAAATATGACTTCGTTTCCGGACCAGCAGTAAAAGTAGATTTGTACAAACATGCAAATGGTATATACTAAAAAAGATATAGTTGCAGAAAGTTCTTTCATATGTGTTGACAAGTAATACACACTTGTACATAATACCAGTATACTACTAAAGAATTGAACGAAGAGCACTTGGTTGAATATGACGTTTACCGCTTTGGCGTATCTGGAATGGTTTCATGTTAGTTCTGCATTGTATGAGCAGGATTGGGAAAGTTGCTTTACAAATTATTTATATATAAGTTACATTAGGTATATTATAGGAACTGAGTACAATAAGATAGGATATTTTTTTATTATATTTTATTATTTCCATTCAATTTTGTATTGCTTTTGGTACTCAATTTCTATAACAAACGCTTATAAGATAACCTAAAAGGATAACTTAAATTATAATATAATTTATATTATACATATCTTGACCTGACCTTGAGGACGCTACTCAAGGTCAAACAGATATGATCAGTAAACAGACCTTTTTAAATCCTACAACTTTTGTCTGAATTATTTTTCCCAAAAATGCTTTGTTTTCAAAATATTTTACCGGCCTGGGGCTTTTTACTCACCCTGCATATATGTACATATATATATATATATATATACACACACAGGATGTCCGGTAAGTTTTGACAAAGTGCTCATGTGTAAATAGAGCGGACTAAACTGAGTCGAAAAGTCCTCTACTAGTTTGCAATTATCGTAATATTTTTTTTTAGTTACCCAGTGAGAAGAATATCTAAAAATGAAGTAAAACAATTTTAAGATACCTTTAAGATACCTTTAAGAGTTCTTTACGAAACACCTTTAAGATATTTTTATAAAGAATCATAAAGAAAACCGAAAGAAATCATAAAGTTGTCTTGTGCATAGATTTTACCCGTTTATTTGACAATTTTTAGAAAATAATATCTCGTTCATTATCGTTAAAATTGCAAAATGGTAAAGGACTTTTCGACTCAGTTTAGTCTATCTACATACGAGCGCTTTGTTAAAACTTACTGGACACCCTGTACATAAAATACATATCTATTTAAAGAAGAGATTATATGCATATATATATAAAAATGGATTCTTAAGCTAGATCTACAATTGCATAAACGTAGTTATAAGTGGTTGTACTTGTAAGAATTCATCAATCACAGTCGGGTATTCTTTTTGCACTCAATTGTGATTGATCAATTTTTACAACTACAACCACTTACAATTGCGTTTACGCAATTGTAGATCGGGCTTTAAGTGACTTACTTGTAAATGCTGAGATGATGACGTATGCACTCCGACAGATCTGCTTCGTTTTCATTTAACAAACAGCTTGCATGTCCCAGATATTTAACTGTTTTATTAATTATTAATTTATGAAGACGACTTTCCAATATTTCAAACTGGGCACATGTTTGTAAAATCAATCCAAAGACTAGGGTTTCCGTGCCAACATTTATCATAGTGGCAAAAATTGTAGTTACCATTTGATGAATGGATATAGTCCAAAACATCATAGACACATTGTAATTACATGGCAGCCATATTCGATAAGGCATGTGACCTTGCATAACGTTTAATACAAATCCTATTGTACCGCCTGTAACGGAACTTGTTGCTAAAAGTGAGTATTTTATCGAGCATGATCTGCAAACGTAGAACCGAGATGAAACTTTATATAAACTTTATCATCATTTATATTTTCAATTTAACGAAATTTATAATCATAAAATGTACTGCATTATATTTAATTATTTTGTACATGTGATGTGTGAATTATTACTATAATTTAAAATAATATTGGAATAGAAAACTTTTTCAACTAAAAATTAATTAGACAGAGAATAAAATGTTATTATGTTTTTATGTAAAAATATAAGAATATTTTGAAATATATGATCTACAAAACATAGTAAAAAATAAAGAACTTATAATTTGTTGTAGAAACAACTAGTGTTGATAAAATTTGTACGATTTAGAAATAGTACGTGCTGAACGCATACGAATTGAATTATTGCATAAATATTTTAAATAATAATAATATTTTAATATGGGGACATTTTAATAAAGATATGAACTCACCTGATGAATTTATCAAATTTTGTTTGTATTGCTACTTCATCTTCGTCTCGAGGTTTGTATGGTGCTTTCAGCAATACTTGCACTAAATTGATGATCGCATTCCGACGTACCACAACGACAGTGGTTTTACAACAAACAGCAACAATACTCAAAAGTATTAGAGTATTACTAGCAAAATCATCGACATTATTAACAACAAAAATTATGTCCATAAATTGAGTTAACAGCAAAAAATATTCCGAAGATACTATAATAAAGGTAAATATATTATACAGCAGTTTGGCACCATTTGATGACCACTCAACAGGTCGCCATATACCGCCAATGGTGTACATTAAAAAATTTAGAGAAAATATTTGCATATTTAGATTCGCTTCCTTTCCAAAAAACTTATCGAATTGTTGTGCAAAAGTATAGCTTCTTTCTACGTATAAAGTATCTAAAAAAGTGGTTTAAAATATTTTGAAAATTATCTGAATATCTTTTCTGAAATATATTAATTATAAATCCGAATATATTTATATGTTTAAAAAAATTGAATTTAATTTAGAAGATAATATAACATTTTATAATAGTATATATATATAACATTTTATATAGAATAATAGGTTATGCTTTTAGTAAATACTACAAATTAATGTTTAAATTACACACTGAATACCAAATGCGACTATCCGCTTCCAATCAATTTTGTTTCACTTACAAATTGCGTCCAATAATATCGCTGATTGAGAATCGGACTTTATTTAATTGCAGTAGGTATAGTTCATGATTTGTGTGAATACGACTACAAAAGTAGTATTTATAAATATTTATTGTGCACCTTTTTCGAAAAATATCACTTCTTAGAATTTTATCTAGTGATAAGAGAATTAACAAATACTAACTGATATAATATATTATTTTATTATTGTGTCATTAAATTTCACTTAAATGTAACCGAGCACGTCTTGCGATAGACTATGTAAGTATGATATTATAGATTTACATTTTTCAACGTCTTGTCAATCATCAATTACAGTTATTAAAAAGTCGACATGAAGTCGTTTAATTATTTGTTATGGGGAGTATGTTCTTTTCCGTCTTTATGAATAATGTAGTAACCGTAACTGTAAAAGTTTTCTTACTTCCACCCATCGAGGGATGTCCTCCTTCACGGTCACGCATATTGTCCTGCTGAATAAAATATTTGCATATTTTCATCGGAAGTACTTAGAAAGAATATCATATTTTCTGCAAAGTCTCTCATTTTATTACATAAAAATGCAGGACCCAGAATGGTAATAAAAGTGTGTAATTAAAGTATGATTATTTGTCAAGATACTTCTTTGTATATCTGCACAGTATAGCAAGAATTCGCGAAAATACATATGTATATATATTAATCGCGTATACATAGACATATATTTCATACTGTGCATTGATTTTCTAATGTAGGAATTTAATTAGGAATTAAATATTGTGAGTATGGCAAATGTTACTATGCATTTTTTTACACCATCTATTTTAGAGCTGGAACTAAAGTAGAGTCACATTCTTGATTTAATAGGTTTATTTACCGATTTTCTCTATAGTTTTCTTTATAGTTCAATTTGTAGTATGACTTGCATGTATATATAATATAATTGTGTTATCGAGAATAGACACACAAATGAAATCCATGTACTAATATAAGAGAATTAATATATATTATGATATACATATTTAAATTTTGTTTGAATTAAGTATAAATAACAAATATCCTTAATATACAATATATTATTGCCATTTAAATTCTAAAAACGAATATATAAAATAATTATAAATTATAAATAAAAATATTCCTTATTTAAATAAAGGTATAAATAATACAGCAAAGTTGCAATGCACTCCTGCGAATAGAAAAAATTTTCTGTTATGATTTAATGATAAAATACGTTCGTTTTAATAATACATGAGTATAATGACTTTTTCTATAAGATATTTTTTTTTGTAGGCTGATACATTCACATTCCTTTATTGTAAATATATAATTGATTATGAGAACAAGTTTTAATATATTACTCATTGATTTTCATTAAAACGATAAAGAAAAATAAGTTATTATAAGATTTCTATCGTACTCCAACGATTGAATTCGCTTTCATCAGATAATAAAAGAAAACAACAGGAAACGGTAATACTTCGTTTGGAGTATAAGAAGTGAAACCATAGGTTACAATAGGAAACAATAAGACTTTTTAAATAAATACTATATTTTTTTCATAATTATATTCTTATCTATTACTATATGTAGAAAAATATTACCGATACTTTTACGTTATAATCAGTGTCTGAGAATGTATCTGAGAATGTTATTTCATTCACGCTCTCAATTTGTGCGGTCCTCTATTGATTTCTGTTACTTAATTTATATTGCTAATCGTTCCAAGTACGATCCACTGTTACTGTCGATTTCAATTGGTCAAGTCACGTGCATATAAAACACATGTATATACACATATATATACATATCTAATAGCAATTTAGAGAACAGTTATAATTTCCATAATCATACGATGAATGATTTGAAGGCAATTGATAATTTCATCGATTGTGGATAATAATTGACGTTTTACTTGCTACATGTTTGACATAATTATAATAATTAATATTGTATTCATTTTACCTGTTATAAGATATATCTATAAGAAGAAATTGTGGAATACAAATCATTAAGCGTTCATTAGCCATTCATTACTCAACGAGAAATGACTGTTAATGAGACGTCAAATTGGCATCGAATTAATTTCGAAATCGTCATTTCTCGCTGGATAGTTGTTCATTAGTAAGTTGTTTATTACGACGCACATTATTTTCTGGTGTGTGTGTGTGTGTGTGTGTGTGTGTGAATGCTTTAATTTTAAATGTCATTTTACTTGCAATAATCAGGAAATTTTTTACAATTTTTAACACATTATCATTTTTTTATCAAGTGAAATGTTTGTATGTTTTTTCATATAATCAACATTTAATGCTCATTTCCTGCTTATGAAAAATTTGTCTTATTATACATATTATAAAAGTATTATATAAGAAAATGTAACGAAAAAATTAACATGTCTAAATATTTTCCAACTTAACTCTATTCGTACATTCACTTATGTACCAACTATAATAAGTGAGTTGGAAAAGTGTTGATTACTTCTAATGCGCTCGCAAAAGAATGTAACGTACAAAAACAGGTTACAATTTTTACATTCATTTAACATCCGATTCAAAACGATTTCTGTTTGTATATTAAAACACATTATTGTATACGTATTCCATATGTTACGTGTATATATTTAGTATGTGCGTGCGTGCATGTGTGTGTTTATCTGTGTGTGCTAGTATTCGAATAATTGGTATAAGGAACAAGGCCGGAAATAAATACGTGAGGAAGCGAAAGTTAATAAGATTTAAAGTCGCTAATTTATCAAAAACTACATCATTATCATATTCAAACAATTTTTGGTTATTTATTATACTTTACTTTTGTAAAACGTTAAATGCTGAATATGATGTCTTCAAGATCTGAAAGAAAAATAGAAAAAACATTGACGTACATGGAAGATTATGCATTTATTATAAAAAATTCCGACTGTATTTTCGTACATACGCGACAAATATTGTTAATATCAAATCTTCATATTTTATGCGAATCTTCATATTTTTGACATACTATATCAAATATTTATTTTGACACCAAACGATACTAACATTACTGTAAGACTGAAGGGATAAAGTTATCAAAAAGCTGCTAGTGAACTTTACAGGAATTGTGCTACGTATCATGATCATCAATAGTCCTTTTTTTTCATTGATCGATAGTAATGGCCAATCCATACGATATATAGCGTCCGCTATACTCATACTCTATTAACATAATATAGAGTTATTTTTACATAATAATAATACGAACATTATCGAATCTTAATGATGTTATTATAGTTTTATACACGCGCGTTTACGCGTGTATAATATATGCATTAAATATATTCTTATTGTATAAAATAGTTCAAATTTATTGCGGACAAATCATTTATTAGATTATTTTGCAAACTTTTATAAAAAAAATTAGGTTGTTCAAAAATACCCGCCATTTTCCATTAACTCATAAAATCGATTAGGTACATCTACAATATTTCGTATGGATTTATTACAGCGCACATGATAGTTACTTTAAGCATGACTTCGTTTCCGGACCAGCAGTAAACGAAGATTTGTACAAACATGCAAATGGTATATACTAATAAGGGTGCAGCTGCAGATAGTTCCTTGATATGCATTGACAAGTAATACACACTCGTACATAATACCAGTATACTACTAAAAAACTGAACGAAAAGCACTTGGTTGAATATGATGTTTACCGTTTTGGCGTATCTGTAATGGTTTCACGTTAGTCATTTCAGATGAGTAAAACAATTGCTACTTTAATGTACAGTTTTATAATATTCCTAATTAACAATTGTATGAAAATTTTAGTATGCGTAATTTACTGAAACAAGAACTACTTGGTCCTTAGAAGATGGTATTTTTTCCTAGAAAATTTACTACGAAATGAATACACAAAATGTCTTCGGATTTTCCGAAAATAAACTTTAACAGTGTATTTTATGAACTGAAATAAGAAAAAATATATAAATACATTAGTTCCTATAAAAGGCTTTATAATTTTTATAGCGAGATGTCTTATTCTCGTAAAAAAGGCGAAATTTAAAATTGCATCGATATCAGACTTGTATGGGCTGACAGCACTTTGAAATACAGAATCAGGAAAAATTGTTTCTTACATATTTCATATTTTTGTTATAATTTCTTAGGACCTATGTTTATATAAAAATTTTGTCTTATTTTAGGTTATAGAAGGTACTGTTAAAGTTTGTACAGAAAATCTAGGGGGGGGCCACTTTGTATAATAATCACTTTGAGAATGTTTTGTATTCGCTTTTGTAACAATTGTCTATTTATAGTTCCAAATAAGAATAGTCGAATTATTTTTTGATTTTGAACAACTTTCCGTCATAAACAATTTATTCTAATAAATAATAGTTATTTAAGCATCCATATTCATACATACACACACACGCGCACGCGCGCGCGCATGTGCGTATTTGATACACATATACGAATATAGAGCAAATTGAATATAATATATAAACATAAAGACGGATTCTTATGTGACTTACTTGTAAATCCTGAGATGATGGCGTATGCATTCCGATATCCATGTTTTATCTTCATTCGACAAAGAGCGTGCATGTCCGAGATATTTAACTGTCTTTTTAATTATGAACTTGTGAAGACGACTTTTGAAAATTTCAAGCTGAGCACACGTTTGTAAAATCAATCCGAAAACTAAGGTTTCCGTGCCAACATTTATCATCGTAGCAAAAATTATAGTTAAGATCTGATGAACGGATATAATCCAAAACGTAGATACATTGTAATTATATGGCAGCCATATTCGATAAGGCAGGTGACCTTGCATAGCGTTTAATACTGATCCTATTGTAGTGCCTGTAACGGAACTTGTTGCTAAAAGTGAATATTTTATCGAGCATGATCTGCAAACGTAGAACTGAGATGAAATTTTATATAAACTTTTATTACCATTTATTTATACTTTTAATTTAATAAAATTTATATTCATAAGATTTATAATTACTGTGTTATATTTAATTATTTTGTACATGTGTTATGCGAATTATTACTATATAATTTAAAATGATATTGGAATAGGAAATTTCTTCAACTAAAAGTTTGTTAATTAGACAGAATAGAAAATTACTACATTTTTATGTAAAAATGCAAGTATGCCCTAAAATATAATATCAACAAAATGTAGTAAAAGATAAAAGACACATAATTTGTTATAAAAACGATTAGTGCAGATAAAATTGGTACGATTCAGAAATAGTACGTGCTGAATGCATTATACAAATTGAATTATTACATAAATATTTTAAGTTATAATATTTTAATATTGGGACGTTTTAAGAAAGATATGAACTCACCTGATGAATTTATCAAATTTTGTTTGTATAGCTACTTCATCCTCGTCTCGAGGTTTATATGGTGCTTTCAATAATATTTGCACTAAGTTGATGATCTCGTTTCGACGTACCACAACGACAGTCGCTTTACAACATACGGCAACAATAGTTAGGAACATTAGAGTATTAGTGGCAAAATCGTCGATATTATCGACAATAAGAACTATATCCATAAATTGAGTTAACACCAAAAAGTATTCCGAAGATATTATAATAAAGGTAAATACATTATACAGCAGCTTAGCACCATTTGATGACCACTCAACAGGTCGCCATATACCGCCAACGGTGTATATAAAAAAATTTAAAGAAAGCATTTGCATATTTGAATCGCTTCCTTTCCAAATAACTTATCGAAATATTGTACAAAAGTATAATTTCTTTCTATCTGTAAAGTATCTAAAAAAGTGGTTTAAAACGTGTTGCGAAAATTATCTTTTTTTAAATTTCTGAAATATATTAATTAAATCTGAGTATATCATGATTAAGAAAAATTGAATGTAATATAGAAAGTTGTATAATATTTAATGAAGTAACATATGCTTTTACTGAATATAAAGTACTACAAATTAATATTTAAATCTCACACACACTGAATGCCGAATGCAACTGTCCAATTGGAACAAATTTTATTTATTTGACATACATATTGCATATAATTGCTTGCGCGGATTGTGAATCGGATGACCTTATTTAATTATGATACAGAGTATGATTTGTATGAACACAACTACAAAAATAGTATTTATAAATATTTTGTGCGCACCTTTTTCGGAAAATATCACTTTTTAGAATTTTAGCTAGTTATAATAGGATTAACAAATACTAGCACTGCTATAATATGTTATTTTATTATTGTGTCAATAAATTTCATTTAAATGTAATCGAGCATGTCTTGCGATAGACTATGTATAGTTTACATTCTTCACCATCTTGTCAACCCTAGTACTATCAATTACGGTCATTAAAAAATCGACATGATGTCATTTAATCATTTATTACGAAGTGCATGTTCTTTTCCGCACTCATGAATAGTGTAGTAACTCTAATTGTAAAAATTTTCCTACTTGCAACCATCGAGGGATATTGCGGTCCTTTACAGTCACGTATATTATTACGTTTCTGTTGAATAAAATTTTCATGTCCATCGGAATTACAAGGAAAAAAATATCGTATTTCCCACAAAGTCTCTCACTTTATTATATAAAAATACAGACCTAGTGTAGCGATAAAAGTGATGTGTAATAAACTTAGGATATATTCTTCATATTACTTATCTATATATCTGCAAAGTATGGCAAATGTGCGGGAAATAGGTATCCATATATCTCATACGCGACATATTACAAGTATAGACTGAGAAATTATTTTTTTCTTACTTTAGTGCTGAAACCAACATTAATGTTGGTTGCTTATAAATCAAATCAAATATATTGCACAGTATTTTTTTTGTCATTGTATTACACTGTGTAAAATGTCTATATTGTGTTTGTACGTTCATGTCAACATTTCTACAATCAGAATGAATATTAAGGTTGTAATAAATACATAAACAGAAATTTTAAAATTTAGTCATTAATGTCATTAATTTGCGAAAAACTACATAATTAATATGCTTAAGTACGCTTTAAGTTATATTATTTATATTTTGTTTTTGAAGTACGTTAAATGCGGAGTATGACGTTTTTAAGATCTGAAAAAAATTAGAGAAGATATCAATATTGATTATTAAATACTTGCTAGATATACCAGTTGTTTTTGGACATACGCAACGAATATTAAATTCTTTAACATTAAACACAACACAAAACATTTTATAATATATGTAATATTTGTCCAGTCATTTAAGATCTAAGTAATAATATTACTGACGTTGCTGTAAGATTGAAGAGATAAAGTTATCATGAAGCTGCTGGTAAATTTAATAGGAATTGTGCTACATATCATAATTATCAGCAATTCTTTCTTTTCAGTAACTGATAACAGTGGCCAATCCGTACAATATATACTCTCTCCTATGCTCATACTCTGCTAACATAACACATAATATTATTGCTGTATAATAATACCGTATAATCTTATCAATTATATTAGTTTTGTATTATGTGTATATGTGTAAAATAATACAAGACTGATGAACATACATAAATAAATGAATATTTTTTCGTATATAAAATGATCCCTTATTTAAATATTTACCAAGAAAGTTAAATTATCTCACTCGTATTGAGTTGTAGGAAAATATACTCGTTGTTTTCTATTAATTTTAGTAAGCTACATATATTTGATAAAGGCTGTAATAGAATAAGTTACCTTAAGCATAACTTCGTTTCCGGACCAGCAGTAAATATAAATTTGTACAAACATGCAAATGATATATACTAATAAAGTTGCAATTCCAGACAGTTCCGTAATATGCGTTGATAGGTAATATATACATGTACATAATATCAATATACTACCGAAAAATTGAATGAATAGTACCTGATTAAATATAACGTTTACCGTTTTGGCATATCTGTAAAAATTCCATATTAGTTCTATGTTGCAATAAATTACTATCCTTATATATAATTGAATAACATAATTTATACAATTGTCAAAATTATAGAACAATTATGTGTGTAGTATTTATTGAAATAAAATCTTTCTAGTTTTAAGAAAGTACACATGTAATACCTATGCAATTATTTATTACGGCATAATAATAAGCATATATATGTATAACATATACATTTATGTAATAGTAAATAGAATAATAAAATCACATTGATAATGTTTTCTTATTAAGTTTGTAATGGTTACTTAATTATTTCCAAATAGCATCAATTATTTACAATTACTCTAGACCTTAAGCATAATTATTATCTTTAGACTCTAAGCATAATTACAATCTTTAGACCTTAAACCATTTTTTATAAAAAATATTAATAAGTATTGTTATGATCAATAGTAATTTTTAGAAACACAACAATTAAATAATATATATAAATTCTTTTACAAATTTAAATACATACATAAAAAGACGTGCTATAAAAATAGATTCTCAAGCGATTTACTTGTAAATACTGAGATGATGTTGTATGCATTTCGATATTCCTGTTTTATCTTCATTCAACGAGCAGAGTGCATTTCCCAGATACTTAACTGTTTTATTATTTATTAATTTGTGAAGACGATTTTCGAAAATTTCGAGTTGAGCACACGTTTCTAAAATTAATCCAAAGACTAGGGTTTCCGTACCGACATTTATAATAGTGCCAGCAATTATAGCCATAACTTGTTGAATAGATATAATCCAGAACACTAGAGACACATTGTAATCCAATGGCAACCATATTCGACAAGGTAGTTGACCGTGCATAATATTTAATATTGATCCTATTATGACGCCTGTAAGTGAGCTTATCGCCAGAAGTAAATATTTCATTGAACACAATCTGTAAACGTAAAATTAAAATTATATTTTATTAATTTTCATGCTTTTATGATAATCAAAGTTAACTTGTATTTTCCAATTTGACAAATTTGTAATAATGCTATTTAAATATAATTGTGTGTATATTATATACATGTACCTATATATCTCCCCCTATTCTCTCTTTATGTCTTTGTGCGTGCGTGCGTGCGTGCGCATGTGTGTGTGTATTAGAAGCAAAATATGGAAGTATACTTTTGCAAAATAATATTTAAGAATTTGCGTTACAAGAAATATTAATTAGTTTAAGTAAATGCGAAAAATTACTGTGTTAAAACGTTAAACGAATAAAGATAGCGTTGAAAAATGTAAAATTAACAATAATCAGCAAAAGGCTCGCAGAAAATTGGTAATACTTATTAAAGTAGTAATACTTATTAATGCTGATTGAATTTAAAAGAAGAAATGATACGTACCAATCGTACACGAATTAAATTATTGTGTAGACATTATCTATTACATTAAAGCTTCATCATTAGATTATCCTAACAATTATATGTCATACCTACCTGACGAATTTATCAAATTTTGTTTGTATTGCCATTTCGTCCTCATCTTGAGGTTTACAAGGACTTTTCAACAATATTTGTACCAAGCTAATGATGGCATTGCGACGTGTTACAACGACAGTCGCTTTACATACGACAGCAGCAACACTCACGAACATTATAGAATTAGCAACGAAATCATCGATATTATCGATAACAAATAGAAAATCCAGGAATTGAGTTAACATCAAAAAGTATTCCAAGAGTAATACAATATAAGTAAATACATTATACAGAAAATTGGCACCATTTGATGACCATTCAATCGGTCGCCATATACCGCAAATGGTATACAGAAAAAAATTTAAAGAAAACATTTGCATATTTGAAGTTCCTCCTTTAAAGGCAATTTACCACTTTTGTTTAAAAGATCAGTCTTTTTCTACATGTAAAACATCTAAAAAAGTAGCTTTAAAATATTGTGAAATTAAAAATTTAATTTAATATAGACAGCAGTATAATAGTTTATGAAACGGAATACGCGATTATAACAAATTCTGTAAACTAGTATTTAAATCGTACACTGAACACTAAACGTGATTGATTGCGACAAATTTTATTCATCTAACACATAGATCGCGTACAATATGTAATCTGGGGTTAAGAATCGAACGAGCTTAATTCTAATGCAACGTATATGATTTGTATGAATACATTTAAGAAGCAATGTTTGCAAGAATTTATCGCGCACCTTTTTTGGACCTATTGCTTCTTAAAATTTCGGCTAATAATACAGAATCACTAAATACTAACGGTGATAGAACATGTTTTATTATTATAAAATTCAATAAAATTCATTTCAATGTAACTGAGCACGTCTTGTGACAGACTATGTACAGTTTTACATACTTCAACCCCAGTCTTAACCCTAGTACCATTAATAACAGTCATTAAATAATCGACATGAAGTCGATTAGACATTTATTACAGGGTGTGCGTTCTTTTCCGCTTCTAAGTGAATACTATAATTGTGAAAGTTTTCCTACTTGCAACCATCGAGGGATGTCGTTCCTTACAATAACGCACGTTGTCATATTCCCATTGAATAAAATATGATCAATAATTATCAGAATTAAATGGAAGATCGTTTTTCTCATAAAGTCTTACTTTACATTACATAAAATACGAGACAATATAACGATAAGGGCAATTTATAAAATATTCAGATATTTTCTAACATTAAGTTAACTGTTAGCATGAGTGCCGATTACAAGTGTACACGATAATTATATGTATCCATCGTATGCGCAATATATCACATATGGCGTAGACTGATTCAGAAACTTCTTTTCTTTTACTCTATTTTGAAACCAAAATTAGTGCCGCTTGTGTGTAAAATCAAAACATGCATTTCATTACATTGCGTAAAGTGTATATTTTCAACATGCGTCTGTTTGCGTCACTATTCTTACAATTAAAGTATTTTTAGTACAAATAATAAGGTAGAAATGAATATGTAATAAGAAGCTTTAGTGTTATTAATCTATGAAAAACTACGTAATTATGTCCAAGTACAATTTAGTTATTTATATTTCATTTTTGAAGTACATTAAATGCCGTGTATGATGTTTTTAAGATCTGAAAGAAGATAAATTATAGGAAACGTTAATGTATAAAATATTATGTAGTTACTAAAAAATTCGATTATTTTGCGATTTGCGCTACAAACATTGATAACATTGTATAAAAATTTTATCACAAAAATACTCATATATATCACAACAATACTACTAACATTGCTGTAAGACTGAAGGGATAGAATTATCAAGAAGCTGCTAGTGAACTTTATGGGAATTGTACTTCGTATCATGACCATGAGCAATTCTTTTTTTTCATTAATTGATAATAATGGCCAATCCATACAATATATAGCGTCTCCTACCCTCATACTCTGCCAATATATATATATATATAAAATATAATTATATGTATACACATACATGTATATATAGAGACTATTTTCAAATCAATTAAGTAAGTTGTTAAATTTATTTTCTTTCGAAATTTTATAAAAAACAAAGTACATGTGATACTTTTTATTACTTTATTTACATATATCAGCTTGTTTTTATAAAGTGTCGATAATTACCTTAATAATGACTTCGTTTCCAGACCAGCAATAAATATAGATTTGTACAAACATGCCAATGGTATACAATAAAAAAGTTACAGTACCAGACAATTCTGTAATATGTGTTGACAGATAATACACACTTGTACATAATACCAATATGCTTACAAAGAATTGAACGAAAAGCACCTGGTTAAATATAACGTTTACCGTTTTAGCATATCTGTAATAGTTTCATGTTAGTTCTATGTTACAATAAATTTCTATCCTTATACATAATTGAATAACATAATTTATACAATTTTCAAAATTATAGAACAATTATGTGTGTAGTATTTATTGAAATAAAAACCTTCTAGTTTTAAACAAGTACACATGTAATATGCAATTATTTACTACGGCATAATAATAAGCATATATATGTATAATATATATATTTATGTAATAGTAAATAGAATAACATCACAACATAATAGAATAAAATCACACATTGGTAATGTTTTCTTATCGTGTTTGTAATGGATACTTAATTATTTTCAAATAACATCAATTATATATAATTACTATCTTTAGACTTTAAGCATAATTACTCTCTTCAGACCTTAAACAATTTTTTATAACAAATATTAATAAGTATTGTTATAATCAATAGTAATTTTTAGAAACAATTAAATAATATGTATAAAGACGGGAAGGTCCCAGATGCGCACAAAAAATATCGGACACAGCAGGTTATTCCAATCGGACACAGTCGAAATCGGATACAGATTGAAACGGACACACGATGGACCCAATCTGACACAAGTTAAAACAGACATACGACGATTCCATTCGAACACAAGTTAAACAGGTAAAATTTCTCGCACCCCGAATTCCAAATGGGTTTTTAGCGTTTCTAAAAAGACTGTTCTCACACTCCACTGTCTCCATGGGTTAAAAATATTCCAAGCGGACACTGTCCCAGTTGTAACTTCCACGCGATTAGGCCCCAAGTGGGTAGGATATATTATTTTTTTTTGTTCGGGGCGGCGTAGTCCATTGTCTACATGGGTTACAATGGACGCGTTCAAGTGGACAAAGCGGCTAACCTACTCGCCAAGCAAATGTATTATTGGTTGTTACGTATAGATCCAACCAATCAATTCAATCGCTGAGTAAGCATGCCTAGCCGCTTTGCCGTCTTGAACTCGCCCAATTTCGCAGTGTGGCTGTGACAGATTTCCTAATCTCAATAGTCAACTTTAACGCTTAATATCTCGGTTCGCGGGGCAAAGCGACGCTTATTTCTGCCAGATTCTTTCATTTCATGCAAAAACGCGTCGAATAAGCCTAATTTTATTGATTTTTGAAGTGACCGAGGTAGAGTGCACTTTTACCCGTTTTAACTTCTGTCCGATTGGAATCGTTTGTCCGTTTTAACTTGTGTCCGATTGGGACTGTGTCTGATTAGGTTCATCGTGTGTCCGTTTCAATCTGTGTCCGATTGGAACATCCTGCTGTATCCGATATTTTTTGTACGCATCTGGGACCCTTCCATAAATACTTTTACAAATTTAAATACATACATGAAAAGACGTGCTATAAAAATGGATTCTCAAGCGACTTACTTGTAAATACTGAGATGATGTCGTATGCATTTCGATATTCCTCTTTTGTCCTCATTCAACGAGCAGAGTGCATTTCCCAGATATTTAACTGTTTTATTATTTATTAATTTGTGAAGACGATTTTCGAAAATTTCGAGTTGGGCACACGTTTCTAAAATTAATCCAAAGACTAGGGTTTCCGTACCGACATTTATGATAGTGCCAAAAAATATAGTCATAACTTGTTGAATAGATATAATCCAGAACACTAGAGGCACATTATAATCCAATGGTAACCATATTCGATAAGGTAGTTGACCCTGCATTATATTTAATACTGATCCTATTATGATGCCTGTAAGTGAGCCTGTCGCCAAAAGTGCATATTTTATTGAACACAATCTGTAAAAACGTAAAATTGAAATTATATTTTATTAATTTTTACGCTTTTATGATAATCAAAGTTAACTTGTATTTTCCAATTTGACAAATTTGTAATAATACTATTTAAATATAATTGTGTGTATATTATATACATGTATCTACATATATATATCCCCCCTCCCCCCTCTCTCCCCTCTTTTTGTGTGCGCGCGCGCGCGCGTGTGTACGGGTATAATTGCGCGTGTGTATTAAAAGCTAAATATGGAAGTTTACCTCTGCAAAATAATATTTAAGAATTTACGTTATAAGAAGTATTAATTAGTTTAAGTAAATGCAAAAAAATTCTGTGTCAAAACATTAAATGAAGAAGGATAGCGTTGAAATGTAAAATTAGCAACAATCAAAAAAAAGCTTATAGAAAATTCTAAAGTGGTAATATTTGTTAATACTGATTGAATTTAAAAGAAGAAATGATACGTACCAATCGTACACGAATTAAATTATTGCGTAGACATTATCTATTACATTAAAGCTTCATCATTAGTTCATCCTAACAATTATATGTCATACTTACCTGATGAATTTATCAAATTTTATTTGTATTGCTATTTCGTCCTCATCTCGAGGTTTACAAGGACCTTTCAACAATACTTGTATCAAGTTAATGATCGCATTGCGGTGTATTACAACGACAGTCGCTTTACATACGACAGCACAAACACTCACGAACATTACAGAATTAGCAACGAAATCTTCGATATTGTCGATAACAAATAGAAAATCCAGGAATTGAGTTAACATCATAAAGTATTCCAAGAGTAATACAATACAAGTAAATACATTATACAGAAAACTGACTACATTTGATGACCATTCAATCGGTCGCCATATACCACCAATAGTATATATCAAAAAATTTAAAGAAAATTTTTGCATATTTGAAATTCGTTCTTTAAAATCACTTTTGTTTAAAAGATCTTTTTCTACATGTGTAAGATATATAAAAAAAGTAGCTTTAAAAGATTGTAAAAAAATGTCTTCTTAAATATCCTTATTACATGCCTGGCTATACATATATGTATATATAAAATATAAGTATATCAGTAAAAATTTAATTTAATATAGGCAGCAGTATAATAGTTTATGAAACGGAATACGCGATTATAACAAATTCTGTAAACTAGTATTTAAATCGTACACTGAACACTAAACGTGATTGATTGCGACAAATTTTATTCATCTAACACATAGATCGCGTACAATATGTAATCTGGGGTTAAGAATCGAACGAGCTTAATTCTAATGCAACGTATATGATTTGTATGAATACATTTAAGAAGCAATGTTTGCAAGAATTTATCGCGCACCTTTTTTGGACCTATTGCTTCTTAAAATTTCGGCTAGTAATACAGAATTACTAAATACTAGCAGTGATATAACGTGTTTTATTATTATAAATTTCAATAAAATTCATTTCGATGTAACCGAGCACGCTCTGTGACAGTCTGTGTACAGTTTTAGATATGTACTTCAACGTCTTAAACCTAGTATGATTAATAACAGTTATTAAATTATCGACATGAAGTCGATTAGACATTTATTTTAGGGCGTGCGTTCTTTTCCGCTTCTAAGTGAATACTATAATTGTGAAAGTTTTCCTACTTGCAACCATCGAGGGATGTCGTTCCTTACAATAACGCACGTTGTCATATTCCCATTGAATAAAACATTTTCATTGATTATCAGAATTAAATGGAAGATCGTATTTTTCATAAAGTCTTACTTTACATTGTATAAAATACGAGACAATATAACGGTAAAGGCAATTTATAAAATATTCAGATATTTTCTAACAATAAATTGATTGTTAGCATGAGTGCCGACTACAAGTGTTCACAATAACTATATGTATCCACCGTATGCGCAATATATCACATATGGCGTAAACTGATCAGAAACTTCTTTTTTTTTACTCTGTGTCGAAACCAAAATTGGTGCCGCTTGTGTGTGAAATCAAAACATGCATTTCATTACATGAAACCTGTTCTTTTTGGCTGAACTTTTGCACCGGTTCATCTTTTTTCTTCTTCTTCTCTCCTGAAAAGAAAAGGAGGAAGGATGAACTGTATAAGAATTCAGCCAAAAAGAACAGGCCTATTGTGTAAAGTGTATATATTCAACATGCATCTGTTTGCGCCATTATTCTTACAATTAAAGTAATTTTATAACAAATAATAAGGTTGAAATAAATATGTAATAAGAAGCTTTAATGTTACTAATTTATTAAAAACTACGTAACTATGTCCAAGTACAATTTATTATAGTTATATATATATTTCATTTTTGAAGTACATTAAATGCCGAGTATGATGTTTTTAAGATCTGAAAGAAGATAAATTATAGAAAACATTAATGTATAGAATATTATGTAGTTATTAAAAAATTCGATTATTTTGCGACTTGTGCCACAAACATTGATAATATTGTATAAAAATTTTATCACAAAGGTACTTATATATATCACAACAATACTACTAACATTGCCGTAAGATTGAAGGGATAGAGTTATCAAGAAGCTGCTAGTGAACTTTATAGGAATTGTACTTCGTATCATGACCATGAGTAATTCTTTTTTTTCATTAACTGATAATAATGGCCAGTCCATACAATATATAGCGTCTCCTACGCTCATACTCTGCCAATATATATATATATAATTTTATGTATACACATACATATATACATAGAGTATTTTTAAATCAATCAAGTAAGTTATTAAATTTATTTTCTTTCAAAATTTTATAACAAATTGATTTATACAAAATATATCTGAAGATTTTTTATTACCTTATTTATATATATCAGCTTATTTTTATAAAGTATCGATAATTACCTTAAGAATGACTTCGTTTCCTGACCAGCAATAAGTATAGATTTGTATAAACATGCCAATGGTGTACACTAAAAAAGTTGCAGTACCAGACAATTCTGTAATATGTATTGACATATAATACACACTTGTACATAATACCAGTATGCTTGCAAAGAATTGAACGAAAAGCACCTGGTTAAATATAATGTTTACCGTTTTGGCGTATCTATAATTGTTTCATGTTAGTCTTGCATTGCTGTAATAAGGTAATTATACTATCTTCATACATAATTGTATAACATGATTCCTATACAAATCCAAAATTTGTGAAAAATTTTATCATATGTATATTATTTACTAGAACAAAAGCTATTTGATTGTCTTTGAGCTAGTATTTAGACCTAATTTTTTATTCTACACAATTTGAGACAGAATTACCACATGATAAAATAACGTTGAGAGTACTCCATTTTTGAGGTTGTACCAGTTGTTTATTAATTTCAATTAATGTTAGTTATTTATAATGTTTTTTAAATTTAAACGTCTCTCCGTCATAAACGTCAATGATTATCGTTATATTAAACAATAACGATTTTTAAATACAAAAAATAAATATTTACACATGCAATCACACGCGTACATATAAAGAGGCATTTGGACATATGCATAAGAATTCTTACATGACTTACTTGTAAATGTTGAGATGATGGAGTATGCACTCTGATATCCCTTTGTTTTTATTAGACGAAGAGAATGTATTTTCCAGATATCTAATTGTTCTATTAATCATTAATTTGTGAAGACGACTTTCGAAAATTTTAAGTTGAGCACACGTGTGTAAAATCAGTCCAAAGATTAATGTATCCGTGCCAATATTTATCATGGCAGAAAAAATTACAGTTATGATTTGGTGAACAGATATAGCCCAAAACATCGTAGATACATTGTAATTATATGGCAGCCATATTCGATAGGGCAGATTACCTTGCATAATGTTTAATACTGATCCTATTGTAGTGCCTGTAACGGAGCTTGTTGCTAAAAGTGAATACTTTATTGAACACGATCTGTAATTATAAAAACGAAGTTATTTTTCATACATTTTGTACATTTCCAACTTGGGTTTACAACTTGGATTTACTCTTACTTTTAATTTGCAAATTTACAACGACAGAATTTATATGCATATTTGTGTGTACGTGCATACGTATATTATTTTAAAGTAATATTTCGAAGATATCCACTTTAAAAGGTCTTTGAATTAAACAGAATATAAAATCAACACATTTCTAAATGTAGTAATGATAACTCTAAGAGGTAACGTTAAAATTCAACAAGTAGAAGACTTTATGGCGAATGCTAAAATTTCCACATTCACCAATACGAATTGAATTCTTTGGATAATAATACGTAAATTAAATTCTTGTAATGATATTTTGTTCGAGTTTGTACTAATGTTTCACTATAGGATCTTCTTAATAACTATAAGTATCTACCTAATAAACGTATCAAATTTTGTTTGTATCGCCACTTCGTCCTCGTCACAAGGCTTACACGGTGTCTTCATTAATACTTGCACCAAGTTCGTGATTGCATTTCGACGTACCACAACAACAGTCGCTTTACAACATACGGCAACAATAGTTAGGAACATTAGAGTATTAGTGGCAAAATCGTCGATATTATCGACAATAAGAATTATATCCATAAATTGAGTTAACATCAAAAAGTATTCCGAGAATATTACAATAAAGGTAAATACGTTATACAGCAGTTTTGCGCCGTTTGATGACCATTCAGTAGGTCGCCATATACCACAAAGGCTATGTATTAAAAAATTTAGAGAAAGTATTTGCATATTTGGACCTCTCCTTTTACGTGTAACTTATCGATGAGCACAAAAGTATGGATTCTTTCTGTATGTAAAATATTTAAAAAAGTCGTTTAAACCACTGCGAAATATATTTTTCCTTAAATTGCTAAATTAATATCCGCGCGATGAAATATATACGGTAATTATACGAAAAATTAAATTTAATGTAGAAAGCTGTATAATGTTTTATGAAATGAATTTATGCAATTAATTTTCACAACCGTTTAAATAATTTAACACTGAATATAAACGTCTCCGATAAGTTTTATTTACTTAATGCATCGTGTTGTAATGTCATTTCGTGTATAATATTATATTATCTCGAATTAAGAATCGAACGATCTTATTTAACTGTAATGCAATGCATCATTCATATGTATACAACTAGAAAGTATTATAAGCATTTACCGCGCACCTCTTTCGGAACTTTCTCACTTCTCGCAATTCTGACTTCTAATACAATAGAATTAACAAATGTTTCAGACAAATATTGCATAAAGTGTATTCACTGTCATGATAATCAATAATATTCATTTAAATGTAACTGAGCACGTCTTGCGACAGACTATGTATATTAGTTTTACGTACTTCGACTTCTTCACCCTAGTACCATTAATAACAGTCATTAAACAATCGACATAAAGTCAATTAGACGTTTATTGCAGGGTGTACGTTCTTTTCCGCTTATGAGTGAGTAATATAATTGTAGAAGTTTCCCCCCCCCCTACTTGCAACCATCGAGGGACGTTCTTTATAACCACGCACATTGCAGTTATGTCCTATCGAATAAAATATTTGTATATCTTCATATTCATCAAAACTGAGAAGATCGTATGTCTCATAAAGGCTTACTTTATTACGTGAAGTAAGAAATAATGTGCGATATCGGCATTGTATGATGTCTTTAATCCTTTGAGAACCGGAGCTTTCTAACAAAGCAACTTATGAAAGATTTCGTTTTCTAAGAATTTTTGAGACCGCTGAATTCGATTCCGGCAACAGAATTCTAAAATTTAAATTTTAAGAAAGTAATCTGATTATTGTGAAACTTGGTTTTAGAAGATTCTTGATGTCACTGAATTTGAATGTAGCCTGAAAATGATGATTTTCATAATGGTAGTAACTTGCATGAAGGAGACTCTAAGGTTGATATTCATTGTCCGTTCTTGTTTCAAGACGTTTTAAGTAATGTTTTAACATGCTAATATACCCTCTGATTTGTTCGTGACATCTTAAGACGGTCTTGAATATAAGAATCAACTATGAATACTTTTCTGTAACTCATAATTAAAGTTTGGAAGTCTGTAATTCAGAATCAGTACTATCTGTTTGCGTATACTGATGAGCTTCACATGAGGCAAAATTAATGTTATTTATTGCAATAAAAAGTTTTCTAAAACTGAGTTTTAAGTTGATAAAATTATTTTTTAAAAATTCTGTCTGGCGCACACATATTGAATTCATCTTGAATTTTTTTTAAATCTTATATTTAAATAAAACATTATTAAATTGTCCCATAAGCCAAATTTTATAAAAATTAAGCGAGCAGTTACAAAATAAAGAAAGATGATCTCAAATGGATGCGTTGGTCCACAAAAGGTTAAATACTGTATTTTCTAAATAGACTTATTTGAACATATGCCGATTACATACAGCAAGAGGACAGGATAACTATTATACCAAACCTATGCCTCGTATATCGTATGACATGGATTGGGCAATCCATGTCTTTTTCTTGACTCCATGCTCAAGTCAAAATTAGTGCCGGTTGAATTAAAACATGCATTTCACTGTGTAAGTACATGTACTCAATGTGCGTACCTTGAATGTTTTAGAGTTGTCACGAAGTGTAAGGTTGAAATAAATAAACAGAAAATTTTAAATTTTACTAATTTATAAAAAACTACATAATTATCACTTTCTAGAAAACTTTTAATTATTTATATTTTACTTCTGAAGTATGTTAAATGCCGAGTATGACAGTTTTAAGATCTGAAACAAAAATTAGAGAAAATGTTTATATAGATTATTGCGATTATTAGTACAGTTATTAAAAATTTCTACGGTGCAGTTTTCTGATGTGCATGCTTACAAGTAAATACGTTACTGCCAATATCGGCTATCGCGTACAGACATCTATTTCGTTAACAAAGTATTCATAATACCACAGTATTACTAACACTGCTGTAAGATTGAAGGGAGACGGTTATCAAGAAGCTGCTTGTGAATTTTATAGGAATTGTGCTCCGTATCATGACCATGAGCAATTGTTTTTTTTCGTTAACTGATAATAGTGGCCAATCCATACAATATACAGCGTCTCCTACACTCGTACTCTGTTAACGTAACATAAATGAAATAATTATTTCGCAATAATACGAATAAATATCAATATTTATCAACATTATTATTATTATATGTATAAATATCTGAGTATATCTATATGTAATTTATATGTATGTTACGGGCAAAGTCCGCACGTGGGTAATGCTGACATTGTACAGCAGGCAACTCGTACAATGTCAACATTGCCCACTATGCGGACTTTGCCCGTAACATGTACACCTACATAGACTAGTTGCAAATCTACCAGGTAAGTGCACCAGAATTATCTTTCGAAATTTTGTAACAAATTGAGATATGTACAAAATTATTTACGACAGTTTCTCGCGACAGTTTCCTTTATATCACTAACAATAAGATATACAGTATGTACAGGGTTGGCAAGTAACGCGTTACTTATAACGCCGTTACTTTGTTGATTGTTACCTTGTTATAATAACGATTTGGTAATGACATTGTGAATTTTTTATGATGGTAATGTTAACATTAGAGTTAGAAAAGTCAATCGTTACTTGTAATGAATTGAAAAAGTCATTTGTTACTGAAAAAAATAACTCCTAATTTGTAACGCGTTACTTTTTAGTAACAAGTAACGTTACGCGTAACGTTACGCGTTACTTGTTATACTTATAACTTTTTCAGTGTAACACGTAATAGTGACAAGTTACTTTTCAAAATGACTTCTCTAACCTTAGTACAACCTTAGCGTTTAATTAGTTAGCGTTATCGTCATAAAAAATTGCAACATCGTCATCAAATTGTTTACTATAAAAAGTAAACGACAAAGTAACTGAAAAGTAACGTTTGCCAATCCTGAGTATGTAGAATATTGTTACCTTAAGAATGACTTCGTTTCCGGACCAGCAATAAATATAAATTTGTACAAACATGCCAATAGTGTACGCTAAAAAAGGCAGAGTACCAGAGAGATTTCTAATATGTATTGACAGATAATACACGCTTGTACATAATACCAGTATGCTTGCAAAGAATTGAACGAAGAGCACCTGGTTGAATATAACATTTACCGTTTTGGCGTATCTATTAATTGTTTCATATTAGTCTTACATTGATTGCTGTATGAGTAAGGTAATTATACTATCTGGATATACAATTTTATAATATGATTCCTATCCAAATTAAAAAATTGTAAAAAAATTTTAGCATATATTTACTAGAACAAAAGCTATTTGTCTTGAGCGACCATTTAGACATAATTTATAAATTTCGCACAACTTGACACAGAATCATCATCTAATAAAATAATGTGTGAATTGAGAGTGCTTCGTTTTCGAGGTCGTACCAGTTGTTTAATAATTTCAAGTAACGTTGGTTACTTACATTGTTTTTTTTAGTTTAAACATTTTTCCGTCATAAACGTTAACGATTACTGTTATATTAGACAATAACGATTTTTAGATATTAGATACAGAAAATAAATAACGTATATGCATGCAATCACACGCCCACATATATAAAGAGGCATTTGAACATATGCATAGAAATTCTTACTTGTAAATGCTGAGATGATGGCGTATGCATTCCGATATTCCTGTTTTATCCTTATTTAACGAAGAGACTGCATTTCCCAGATAGCTAATTGTTTTATTAATCACTAATTTGTGAAGACGACTTTCAAAAATTTCAAACTGAGCACACGTATGTAAAAACAATCCAAAGACTAAAATATCCGTACTGACATTTATCATGGTGGCAAAAATTAAAGTTATAATCTGATGGATGGATATAGTCCAAAATGCCAAGGGTATAGTGTAATTAAATGGCAACCATATTCGATAAGGAAGATAACCTTGCATCATATTTACTACTGATCCTATTGTAACGCCTGTAAGAGAGCTCATCGACAAAAGTATGTATTTTATCAAACACGATCTGTAAATATAGAAACAAAATTATATTTCGTAAACTTTTGTATAGTTACGATTAAAATTAAAATTCATTTGAATTTTTAATTTGAATAAATATATAATGACAATTTATTACTCTATGCGTATGTGAATGTGCGCGTGTTTTAAAATAATGTTTGAAGAAGTATATTCTCTTTATAGAAAGTCTTTTTTAATTAAGCAAAATTTAATATTTATTGCACTTTTTAAATGCAGTAATGATAATTTTAAAACGTAATATCGACAAAATTCAACACTAAATAAAAGACTTTCTGGATGAAGTTCCAAAACACACGTCAATGTTAAGAATCCTTGTATATCAATACGCTAATTAAATTCTTGCGATGATACTTTATGCGAGTTATACTAATGTTTCACTGTAAGATCTTTCTAATTACACTTTTTTACCTGATGAATGTATCAAATTTCGTTTTTATTGCTACTTCATCCTCGTCGCGAGGTTTACACGGTTTCTCCATCAATAGTTGCACCAAGTTGTTGATCGCATTTCGACGTATCACAATGATAGTAGCTTTACAACATACGGCAACAATAGTCAGGAACATTAGAGTATTAGTGGCAAAATCGTCGATATTATCGACAATAAGAATTATATCCATAAATTGGGTTATCACCAAAAAGTACTCCGAGAATATTACCATATAGGTAAATACATTATACAGCAGTTTTGCACTATTTGATGACCACTCATTAGGTCGCCACATACCACAAAGGTTATATATTAAAAAATTTAGAGAAAGTGTTTGCATATTTTGGCCTCCCTTTCACCTTCTTCTTTACGAATAATTTATTAATACGCACAAAAATATAGCCTTTTCTCTATTTAAAATATCTAAAAGAAAATTTGAAATATTGCGAAAAGTATGTTTTCTTAAATAGATGTACTAAATTAAATATTCGAATATTCATATATAAGACATGTAAGATATGTAAAGTGATCCGTATATAAGAAAAATTAAATTTAGTGTAGGAGGCAATGTAATTTATATAATATTTTGTAACATTATAAATTTATGTAATTAATTTTCACAAGCTTTGTACTTACTACTGAATCGTACTTACTACTGAACATTTACTTAATGATAAACATTTGGGATAAATCGCGTTACAATGTTATTTTGTGTATAATATTATCTTGAATTAAAAATCGCGAACGATTTCAGTTAACTGTAATGCAATGTATCATTTATATGAATATAATTAGAAAACCTTATAAGCATTATCGTGCACCTGTTTCGGAATATCGTTTCTTACAATTTTAGCTATTACAACAGAATTAATAAATGCAGCAGACAAATTTTTCACTATTGTAACGATCAATAGTGACGACAGATAAACAATAAAATTCATTTAAATGTAACTGAGCACGTCTTGCGACAGACTATGTATAGTTTTCCGTACTTCAATTTCTTAACCCTAGTACCATTAATAACGGTCATTAAAAAATCGATATAAAGTCAATTAGACATTTATTACGTTTACATTCTTTTCCTATCTTGAATATATACTATAATTATATAAATTTCCTATTTGCAACCATCTATGGATGTCTTTTACAACTATGCACATTATGTTCTCATTGAAGAAAATATTTGTATATCTTCATGTTTATCAGAATTAAGTGAAAGATCATATGTCTCGCAAAGTCTTATTTTGTTATATGAAATAAGAGATAATGTACGATATGATTATTGTATATCTTTAATCCTATAAAGACCGGAACTTTTTAACAAAATAACTTATGGAAGGTTTTGTTTTCTAAGAATTTTCAATCGCTGAATTTGACTCTGTCATCAGAATTTTAAAATTTAAATTTCCAAAAAGTAATCTGATTATCGTGAAACTTGGTTTAAGATGATTCTTGATATCATTGAGTTTGAATGTAGCCTGAAAATGTCGACTTTCGAAAGTAATTTTTGTAGAAGGAGGATCTATTGTCATAGGACTTATAATCAGAATTTGAAAATCTGTTTAGAAATTAGTATTATCTAATTATGTATTAATTTTATGAGCTGTACGTCACATGTGTGGCATAAACTGAGAAATTATTATTCTGTTTTGGCTGTAATGTCAAAGCTAAAATTGTTATATAATGCTGCTAGTGTATTAAACCCAATTATTGCATTGTGTTGCAATGTGCAAAACATATATATTTATTGCGTGTGCACTTGTATGTTGAATTGCATGTCACATACGTTTTTTTATTTTACACACAGATATCTATTTTCCAATCATTTTCTTTCCAATTATACTTACAATCTCTTGTATGATAATGTATTAAATTTATTTAGAGTATTGATATAATATTGATTGATAATATTGATTTTTGCTGTTGGGGGACAATATTCATTTTCTTTAATTATTGTCAGCAATGTAGAATTTAAGGTATCAGAGAAGAACTATAATTTTAACAATTACAAGTTTTATAATAGCGTCATCTTTACAATTTGTTAAGCTTGCGAGATAAATTAGCAGGCAAAAATTTGCAATAACTAATTTACCAAAATGCTATTACATTATATCCAAGTTCACTTTTTATTATTTTTATCTCACTTTTGTAATACATTAAATGCCGAGTATGATATTTTTAAGATCTAAATGAAAAGAGTTAGAGATATGTTAATACAGAAGACTGGGTATATTTGTTTATAATAAGAGTAATATAAAATAAGAGTAATACGAACACTGCTATAAGACTGGAGAGATAAGGTTATCAAGAAGCTACTGGTAAATTTCATAGGAAGTGTGCTGCGTAACATGATCATTAATAGTTCTTTCCTTTCGTTGGCTGACAGTGAAGGCCAGTTCATATGATATATTGTATCTCCTACGCTCATACTCTATCAACATAAATAAAATAATTATCTCTACGCAATCTTATACGAGGAAATCCTTGTGTCTCATATCAGGAACTCTTTTTGTGAATTAGTAAAATTTGTAATTTTTTAATAAAAACTTTCACATACAATCAAATATAGCTAATTTTATTTTCTGGCCGGTAGTATTACCGATTGCTAACTTTTGATAAAACTTAAATATATCTCTTACAAGTTTGGCATAAAAATAGGAGCTAAAATTACAAATTAAATAAATTACAAGCCTTTAAAAATATATATCTCATAATAGGCATCTTTACCCTAATGTTCTGCATGTTTTTCAAATATAGAATAATTTTAAACGCGATAAGTATTAAATTATTTTGAAAATTATTAAAAAATAAAATTATGAAGATATATTCATGATTTTGTATTAAAGTAATATGAGATATATATTTTTAAAGGCTTGTAATTTATTTAATTTGTAATTTTAGCTCCTATTTTTATGCCAAACTTGTAAGAGATATATTAAAGTAAACAAATATACTTAACTTAAACAGATATACTTTGTAAATTAAAGAGTTAACTGAGTTGTGAATACAATCTTACCTTAAGTATGACTTCGTTTCCCGACCAACAGTAAACATAAATTTGTACAAACATACAAATGGTGTACACTATCAAAGTGGCTGTTTCGGATAGCGTACTATGTGCTGACAGATAATATCCACTTGTACATAATACCAATATACTGCCAAAGAATTGGACAAAGAGTACCTGATTGAATATGACGTTTACTTTTCTGGCGTATCTGTAATGATAACACCTAATAATTCATGTTGTAAATGAAAGTTCTCTTATTATTATACATAACATTGTAACTTGCTTAATTTTAGGAATCAGTAAAATATTCTGGCGTTTATGATTTATTACATAGCAATTGCGTAATCTTAATGAGCATTGAATTATGATGTATCTATTTTTTTTTAGCAAGTAATGATCCATAAAATCACTTAAAAAATATTATCTTTTCCAATTGACAATTCCACTATCAAGTTCGAAATAATTGCTTCATTATAAACGATTTTTTTGAGACTTTAAATATCTTTCTATCCATATATAAAAAGGAAATATTAATTATTATTATTATGAAGATAATTTATAGATAGAGCAACTAATATACATATAGTATATTGATGAATATAACTAAAGATGTGTGAACATTCACAGAAGAAATGTAAATCTCTAACTTGTAAATCTTGAGGTGATGATGTATATATTTTGATATTATCGCTTTTTCTTCATTTGACGAAGGAGAAGAGTGTTCTAAATATCTAATTTGATTTTTCATTAATTTATTAGTTTTATTAGTCACTAATTTTTGAAGACGACTCTCAAAGATTTCAAATTGAGCGCATGTTTGCAGAAATAATCCAAAAACTAGGGTTTCCGTGCCGACATTTATAATAGTAACAAAAATCACTGTTATGATTTGTTGAATAGACGTAATCCAAAATATTGGAGATATATTAAAATCATATGGTAGCCATACTCGATAAGGCAATTGACCTTGCATAGCATTTAGCACAGATCTTATTGTAACACCACTGACAGAACCAGTTGCTAAAAGTGAATATTTTATCGAGCATGATCTGTAAAAATATATAATTAAGATTACATTTACTAAATGTTTCTATCTTTTTGGTATTGAAATTTATTTGTATTTTTAATATTTATAAACGTTTATAACAAATTTTATTAAAAAATTCGATTATTCCGTGAGAAACGTAGGTAATGTAATCGTAAATGTAAACGTAATGTGTATATTATATATACACATAATTTGATAACATTTTAAATTATTAAAATGTATGTGTTACATAATATTTGTTAATTTACCGGTTAAATGTTGAAAATGAATATATCTTTGAAACAAAATTCAATTAAGAAAAAAATTAGAATGCTTTTATCGTAAAAATAACATTTTTTAGCCTGAATCAAATCAACTCAATGTCGGTTACATTCAGAAAAATTCTTAAATTATAGGCGTTTCAAATGATGACATAACATTTTTGCTATCAAAGAATTGCAACAATGGCAAAAACTTACTTGATAAATTTATCAAATTTAGTTTGTATCATCATTTCGTCCTCATTTCGAGGTTTACAAGGTGGCGTCAATAATACTTGCACCAAGTTGATGATCGCCTTCCGACGTACTACAACGATTGTTGCTTTACAAGTAACAGCAACAATAGTCAAGAACATTAAAGTATTTGTTGCGAAATCATCGATATTATCGACAACAAAAATGATATCCATGAATTGAGTTATCATCAAAAAGTATAACAAGACTAGTATAATAGTAGTAAACACATTGTACAGTAGCTTAGCGATGTTCGATGACCATTCAATCGGCATCCATACACCACCGATGGTATACATTAAAAAATTTAGAGAAAACATTTGCATATTCGTAACTCTCTTACGATCATTAAGATGTTACGACAAAGATATAAGTATTTCTATATGTCGAAAAAAATCGTTAATGCAGTATTGCGAAAAAAGACTTATATTTTTTATTTATTGTAAATTATATGATGGCAATAAATATTATTTATTTAATACATAGATTCCTAAATCACAGAGATTCCTAAAATGTAGGTCGCGACTTATAAAAATTTAGAATGTTAAATTATACTTTGTTACTCAATTAGCATACAATATTTAAAAAATATTTTTTTAAATATTGTGTATTGATTGAGTACTTCATTGTACTAACTCACACGGTTTTTATATGACTTTGTACATGTGTGAAGTTGGATTTTTAATGATGAAACTATAATCAAATTTCGATATAAACTAAAATTTTAAAATTTTTTATGTCTAAACTCACACATTGATGTCGACGTCAAAACTATTATCAACAGAAGAGAGAAACAGAGACATTCTTTACACATATCTTATTATTACATATCTAAGAAATAAATTTATAAAATTATATTTTATAAAAAAAGTTAAAAGTAGAAGCATTATAGTATACATAAATAATTAATTTACTTGTTTTATCACTTTTTCATATTTAATAAAGAATTAACAAAGCCATTTACGTATTTACTAAAGCTAGATAAATCACTGATGTTTGTTGTTTTAAAAAGTAAGTCGCGATCTATACAAATTTGGAATACACTGATGTAGATCGTATATAATATTATCATTAATATTATCAATTAACAATTGATAAGAGAGAAAAAGAAAGTTATAAATATCAGTCGTGCACTTTTCTCGGAATACTGCTTTTCACATTTTTAGTAACACAACAAAATTAATAAACGTTAATATGGATGTAAGTTTGTTTCAATATCGAAAAGACAATATTAAATTTAAACTAAATAAAATTGTACACTTGTGTTACATGAGACTATGAGTTTACTCGGTCAACTTCTTAGTCTTATGCCAGCGACGGTTATTAGTACAGAGCCTATTGTAATTTATTATAGTACACGCTTATTTTCCTTTTATGCGAATAGCGTAATGACAGCTGTAGTAACGGATGCGAAGGTCGACTTACTTATAATGAGCAAGGGGTGCATTTACCCCTTGTATCTAAACATATTGTCTATTCCCATCGAATAAAATGTTTATTCACATTCACGTCAGAAAAGTAATGAAAATAGTTCAGCGAATATAAGCGACCTTATATATTTCCCTTATTTTATTATCTTGTCCACAAGTTGAGAATACGTATATTTTTTGCAGTTCCTACATAATTGCGGTTTGTCTCTTTACTAAGTACGAAGATCGCTGGCAGAATTCTTGTATCAATTCTTGTATACGTAAAGTATTGTAGAGAGAAACGTAAGACTCATAGAAATAATATTTTTCTTTCTTTATTAACCGAATTAATAAAATAATTTATATAAGTATTATTATTTATGTACTTATGAAACCAAATCGTTACACATTATAATTTCGAATTTGAATATTTAATATATTAATATTCATAATCATCTCCTAAAAAAATATAACTATATCGATTAATATATTATATACAATCTACATATTCTACATTATGATATTTCTTATAGCACGAAGTTATATGCAGGAATGAACAGCACAAAAGATTAATATAAGAGAATACATATTTTGATAATTTTGAAAATCTGAACTTAATTTTAAATGTTTTTTTTTTTTTCAAAGCGATCATGCGTTTTGTATTCGAAATCAATTATCTTGAGAATATACGAAAAAAAACCAACAATAAGATGAGTTTTTGAGACGTTAATCAAAATGTACATAATCTATATAACACAGACATTCAAGGGACTTCCTAAAACATCGAAAAGATCCTAAGATCGTTTCTAGGACGAAGTCCCCTCAGATAAAATATGCTGTATAGGAACAATTGTATTTATGAGAAAATTTTACTGCAATATTGCGACTTTAATTAAATTTTTATTTATCAATTCGTAATCTAATACGTTTCGTACATGCATATATTATATATGCAGTATAAATAACTCTCACCACACATTACATTAAGAAATAAAGCACGTAACGTCGCATGTGCCAACATTAATATAATACATATTGGAATATATTTTGCAATGAGCGATTTATCCATTATACATGATATCGAATAATGTATTGAGAAAAATTAAATAAAGTTTTAAAATTGTTGCAGAACATTAAATGCGGAAAAAGACGTCTTCAGAAGCTGTAAAGTAAAATAAAAATTTGATAAGAATTAAGCGCCATATTTGTGAAATATGATGGTAAGAAATATTATAGATCTTTAAAAACTAACATTGCCGTAAGATTCCAGAGATAATGTCACCAAAAAACTGCTGGTAAATTTAATAGGTTTTGTGCAACGCTTCATAATCATTAGTAGATCTTTTTGTTCGCTAATTGTTATCAACATCCAATCCATATGATATACTATTTCGCTCAATCCAGTACTCTACGCAAATAAAATTGGTTAAAATAAATGGTATAAGCAAAAAAAATATAGTTGCAGAAATCACGTAGTTTTTGTTTTTTTTGTCATAAAAAATATTTTTTTCTGTTCAAATATATGTCTTTATAGCAGTCATTACCTTGAGCATAACTTCGTTTCCAGCCCAGCAATAAACAAAAATCTGCACAAACATGCTGAATGTGTAAACAATTAAGGTGGCGACGTCTGTAAACGTCAAATGAGAAGACAAATGGTACACAATTGAACACAATACCAAAATACTAACGAAAAATTGAACAAAGATCACTTTGCTGTATATGTCATTAATTGTTCCGGCAAGTCTGTAAATGTTTAAACATTATATCACAAATAACATATTACATTGCAAATGCATAGTTGGTAAATTAAATTATTAATATACGCTGTGTACGTCGCGCGTGCGAGCGCGTGTGTGTGTATGTATAAGGTAAAATTTAAAACTTACGCGTTTGTGGAATTTTTCGTTGTATCATATTTAAACGCGCGAATTTTAAGCGATATGATTCGCGAATTTTAAATATATGCTTATAATTCAAAAACTGTTATAGTTTTAATTCATTTTGTTATCAAGATTTTCGTCTCAAAATGATCTTAGGAACCTATACCGTTAAGGTCTTACCGGACCTATGTATATATACATATATATGTATATGTATACAATATATACACACACACATATATCGAATATTATTTGATATACTCATAAAAACATATACATATAAAGTAACTTTATCATTTACAATACTTGACAAACCTGATTATGCATAGATGGTGAGAAACGTGCTTTGACAACTCGCTTATTTTGCACGATACTTTATTCAACGAACTTTGTGGAAATATTTCCTCCTCTCTACGTTTTATCATTCTGTGAAGGCGATGCTCCAAAATTTCAAATTGTGCACACATTTGTAAGCAAAATCCTAATATTATAGTTTCCGTCGCGATGTTTACAATCGTGGCAATAATTATAGCTACAATCTCTTGAAGGGATGTAAACAAGAATAAAAGGAACGAAGTACAATCCCAAGGTATCCACATGTTATAAGGTAACTGACCCTCTAAAACATCTGCTGTCACAGCACCCATCGCCGAAAACGTACATAAAAGTAAGTAATATATGGAATATGATCTGTATACAATTTTTAAAAGTATATTAGAAACATATAATTATCTTACGATAAGGATGGTATAAGATTGCAGTAAAAGTTCAAAATTATACATTTAAATTTGACAATTCTGTTTGATAAATGAAGTGAGAGGAATATGAATATCAAACATTGCACGTAGCACTTTAACTTCGTTAGGCTGCGTTCGAAAACGTTTACCCGGGTGTTCCTGTATATTATATTATCCTTGTTTAACATTGGGTGATACAACAAGGATACAACGATATGTAGAGGCACTCGGATAACATTTTCGAACGCAGCCTTGTTATAACGGTGAAAGGCACGAATGCACAAAACGTGTATATGCGATACGTTTGTAATTATATAATAATGATTTAGTTCTTAAATTCATTTGTTTTAAGTTCAGAAAAATTAATTTAGTTTGTTATACTTCATTTGTTGTATTTCAGAAAAATTAATTTAGTTTAATTTGTATTATCTTCAATTTTACTTATTTATTCGTATATACAATTTTACTAACTCTGTGTGTGTGTGTGTGTGTGTGTGTGTATCATCACATATTCATTAATTTATTTATTGATATTGTCGAAAGTTACACTGATAGTTATTAATTGGTATATACCAACCTGATTGTATGATCGAATTTCGTCTGGATATCAGTCTCATCTTTATCACAAGCTTTGCAAGGTTCTTTTTGCAGAATTTCAACTGTATTGACAATTCGATCGCGATAGATAACAGCAGTAGCCGCTTTGAACAATAAGCTGATCGTTGAGAAGAAAAATGGGGAAGTCGATGCGAAGTCTTCCACGTTATCGATAACAAAGATGATATACAGCAAGTGAGTCAGCATCAAATATGACAATAGATATATCGTGGAAAAGGTGAACGTGCTATACAGTAACTTGGAGCATTTTGAAGACCACTCGATTGGTTGCCATAAACCACTTATAGTATATAATAAGAAATTGAGAGGCAGTATCTGCATTTCTACAGTTTCTACAACCAAAAGTATAGATTCTCATATTTATTGAAAAAAATAATCTGTATTTGAAATAATATATGACATTGCAATATATAGAAAGTGTCCTTTTTTGAAAATGATTAGTTATATACTTTTAAAAGTAAAAATGTTTTTCTAAACTTTGTCCTACTTTCTGCACATAAATCTTTATAAATACGATTTTATATAAAGATCTTATATGTACGATTAACTGAATCATGTAACTACGGTTTGTACGTTTTCGTGTATCTGTAAAAATAACACAACAATACATAAATGTGGCAAAGGTTCGTAAGACACTGCGGATAAGCGCGTTTATGTCAACTTGCCCTATACAATTTAAAAATTAATGATTCATTAATAACTTCACGTGGCGACATCTTGTCGATATCTTACCACCGGTATCAGACTTGTAATTATAATGACGTTGTTTTGATCCACTTGAATGTTATCCCTTCCCGATATATTCCAACATATTGTCATATTCCCAGGAAGTAAAATATAGTTTTATACAAGCGTTTATTATAAAACTCTGGCAAGTAAAAAAACGTTAACACTGAGTGCTCGATTGGATCAACTTATATTTTCTTTGCAGCATATTTGCATTTTTTAGGGCAGATTTGTTTCAATTATTGCGACATGATAATTATTTTTTAAAAGTATCTTATTTTACTGCGAAAGAAATTTTCTAAATTTTGAATACAATATAATATTTCATATTGCATCAGAGAAGATAAAGTTTTTACATGTACACGGTGCATGCATCTCGCTTGTGTAACAGTTTTCTAAAATATATAATTATTATATCATATGATTCATCACATACTCGCATATACACCAATAATACTTTATAGAGAACAAGAGGTTCTGAGAATAATCATAATTATTTTAAGAGGGAAAGTTGTGTGTGCTAATTAATTTTTAGTATCTTCAACGTTACATTTTTCCGTAGACATTAATTACGGTCATCAATAAATCGACATTACGACGTTGCAGGAATAACTGATATTCACCCTTTCATCGCATAATATATATGTATATCTATATAACACCATGTATTTGTCGCACATGTCAGTCTGAAAGCCAATGTTTATTTCGATATGTCACCGTTTTGTTGCTTGTTGAAAAATGTATTTTATTCCAAAATAAGTAAATGTTCGATATCGAAATCTTTTGATTTTCTTCATGTTTTTGGCATTCATTCAATTATATTCCATTTATTGAATCTTAAACGTTTATGTTGTTTGATAATAGTTCCGTTATTCAAAGATCATCTTTGATAGTGAGATGAAGCGATTGGTCGTTTCAAGGTAAACCACGTGATCGAAGTTCCTCAGGAACTTAAAGTTCGGACACTCCTCTCCTTCTCTCTCTCTCTCTCTCTCTCTCTCTCTCTCTCTTCGCCTTTCTCCTTTTATTTGTTACATCGTGTTATCCGCGATGCCTCGGTGACATACTTCTCGCTGAGACTGCTTTTTTCGATGTGTTTCACCTTCCGCTCGTGAGTTCAACGATCCATCCGAAACCGTGATCCGCGCCTCCGTTAGGCAAGCAGATATGCGGGCAGCAGGCAGGCAGGCAGGCAGGCAGGCAAGCAGGCATGAGGCCGGCAAGCACCGCTAGTAGGACACCGTCCTCAATAGCACGTCGAAAGTACGTGTGGTGGACGTCAGTGATCTTACGAATGCTCTCTATCGACCTGTACTTCATCTCTGTGGTGGTGCCCTCGGCGCACGAATAGACAGGCGGCTCATTATATTCGAAAATATAGCGCCTAAAGCTGACGCGAAATCGCCTGTAACAGCGGCTCGTGGATAGGTAGGTGAGTGGGTGGATGAGTCGGTCGGTCGGTTGGTTGGTTGGTTCGTGTGCCAAACATCAAGAACGAAAACCTCTTCACCTCAATTAACACCGTTGCTGGTAGTGGTAATATCAGTTAGTAGTGGTAAATACAGCGGTAGTAGTGGTCTGTAACCGGTAGCCGCGCACGCGAGTTTCATACGTACTTGTTCTCTTTACGTGTAAAGCGTCGTGAGATCGCTTAAAAATTATTTCGCAATGTGTAAAGAGTCTCGAGAATTACTAGAATTATTAATTACAGCTATTAGAAGTTACATATACTGATCACGCCTCCGAGCAAAAAAGCAACTTGTATAAATAATGCAAGAAGAAAAATGATGTATCTTTTTAATTAGCACGTCTCACCGATTTTCTTACCAATCTAATGCACGTTTAGCAAACAGTTTTCTCGTCATCTATAGAATATATAACAAATACCCGTTTAACGTGTAAGAAAAAAATTTGACGTTAACATTTCTCGAAAGGCATAATTGACTTTTGCAGAACTACTTTCACGAGAGCCTCTCTTTATCAGCATTGTCATTCGCGTTAACTGATTCGTAGAGAATCGAACGTTTCTTATGGTTTTTACGAATCATACTATTATTATTTCGTTACATTGCCGTGCGAAACTCCATTTCACGTCCGCGGGAGATTTCCAGATATCACGATAAATGCGTCCGCGCTAAATGTGCGCGAAATAACAATTCGCGGCGATACGCTTGACGTTGCTTATTGTGTGCCCGGTCGGCAGTGTGGTAGTGCCGAGATGAGACAGTAAACGGGCTGTCTCCTAGCTGGGACACATTGTGCCAGAGGTTGTTCTACAACGGCGAGCAGACAGCAGCAGATACCAGAGCTACGGAGGAAGTGGGTTTCATTAGTAGTGGTGGTGGCGTCGGCGGTGGTGGTGCTTGGGTGCTCGAGTGCTGGTGCTGGTACTGGTGCTGGTACTGGTGCTGGTACTGGTACTGGTACTGGTACTGCTATTGCTACTGCTATTGCAACTGCTATTGCTATTGTTCTTGCTACTGATACTGCTACTGGCGTTTAGTGTTGCTTGCTGATGGTGGTAGTGAGTGCACGGTATAGTTCCCTTCTCTCTTTGTAAGTTCATAGTATCATACATCTCTCCGCCGTTACTCTCACGAACTGAGATTTTACCTACGTTTCTTGGTCGCTGGTACCGCGACTGATCTTCAGGATCTCTGGTCTTGCAGTCGTTTACCTCTTCTCCTTCTCTCTCACTTTCTTGCTCTCTTTCTCTCTCCCTCTCTCTTGCTTTTTTCTATCTTTCTTCTTTTTTCTTTCGTTTCTTTCTTCATGACTTCCGCCAAAACCGACCGTCATTTCATCCACTGTCCATGCGCCAACGTGATCACGTACGACTGAAAAAAAGTGTGTGTGTTCTTGTCCTCTTCGCCGACACCGTGTATCCATATATAAACGACTTGATACATACTGGAAGTAACGGGAAAAAAAACTAGCATCGAAAAAACTCGTCAATCACGTATACTGCTTCGGGTGTCGCTTTCGCAGATAGTTTTGCGCGCGCACGAACGCGGAAGATCGTTGATTTTACGATTGGATTCTACGGATTCCACGGTACGATCTCTCCAGTGCTGATACGTTTAAGCAATCAGGTAATGTAAACTTCTATAGGAATAACAAGGTTCTAATAATTAAATTTTATATAAGCTATTATTATAAGCTATTACTATATATAGAATTGATATTATAATTTGAAATATTGTATATTGGCTCTCACATAAAAAAGAAAGATAATAAATATTATATTTCTCACGTTACATTGTATTCGCACATTTTCGACGCACGAAGATTACAACACTTTCATTGAAAATATATAAAATATTAAGTATATACATTTCATACTCTTTGTACAACTTATATATGCACAAAGTATTTATAAGTATTTTTGTATAAATTTTTATATTGTGCCCTGTACACTGTTTCTCTTTCTCTCTCTCTCTCTCTCTCTCTCTCTCTCTCTCTCTTTGATTACTATATACTTATTATTAGTTACTCAGGCTTTGTTCACAGAGAATGAAACGGATCCTTAACTTTAAAGAATTTCTAATTACAAGTATATCTCTCGATATTCGTATATTTAATGATATTTTTGCAGAATGTATCGCGTACTACTTTTTCTCGTCTTCGTTTACGGGAATATTCGTGGAATGCAATTCCATACCAAAGGAGACTTACCTCGTTTATATCATCCGCGTTTCTTAATGTATGAGGAACCGTATAACATCGAGTTCAAGTACCACAATTACGAACAGATGAGCCGCTTTCTTCGCGCGACGTCCCTTCGATTTCAAAATCTCACCGCGCTGTATTCAATAGGAAAGTCGGTGAAAGGTACGTTATCTTCTTACAATGCTAATTGAGATCACAATAAATAGCGTATTTTGAAAGAGGACGCTTACGTTGTCGTTTGGTGTTTCATTTATACATTTTAACATTCAAGTATATATTTAACAGTATTAAGGTAGAGAAGAAGTAAATATATATGTATGTTATAATCAAGCATTACTCATAGGTCGAGATTTATGGGTAATGGTCGTTTCGTCCTCACCTTACGAGCACATGATCGGAAAGCCTGATGTAAAGTATATCGCTAACATACACGGAAACGAAGCTGTGGGACGCGAATTAATGCTACATCTTATTCATGTACGTAATTATGTTAAGCATTGAAATTTCCGCATCATGTTACTCGCAATGATGAATAACACATGCGCAGCGTATGTTACATTCTTACAATTTGACTCATCGCGTATACATCGCTTGAAGAAAAGATTTATTCGGATATGAAATTTTATCTAGTCAAATAATTACAAATGACAATAATTCGTAATTATAAATTAATATCAATCGATATTAACTGATGGACATTAAATCAATGAATAATAATATTAATATTAATAATTCATTTGCATTCGATAAATGGCGCGCACATATCCCAGCAAACACCAAGTTACATGTAACGTACATGTTAATTGTAATTTCCCACTTAACAATATAACTGTAATATAACACACGTAATATAACACGTGTTATATAAATTATAGTTATGTTGTTGAGTGGGAAATTACAACTAACGTGTACGTTACATGTAATTTGGTATTTGCTGATTTGTTTCTTACAAATCATTAAATATTTAAGTGTCCCTTTTTTTCTTTTTTTTCCTTCTAGTTTCTCGTGACATCGTACGGATCAGACGCATATATAACATGGTTATTGGACAATACAAGGATTCATATTTTGCCGTCAATGAATCCTGACGGCTTCGAAGTCTCTAAAGAGGGACGCTGTGACGGTGGTCAAGGCAGGTTAGATATTGATATAAACGATTTATATTTGTTTAACTTATTTTTTGACCATTTCTATTTTTCCAATCAGGTCAGGTTGCGCTAACCAACGATGAAATTTTTAGTTCAAACCTAATTGTCTAACGTTGAACACGTTGAGACAATCTTTTTTGATATTCCTTTCAAAGGGACTTTCTTTCGATTTAAACGTAAAATTGAAAGGTTTGCGCTTAATGTTTCATAAAATAGCCATAGACCGAATATACTTAAATGAATAATCGTCAGGAGCGCTGACAAATACATCGTTAACTACTTCTGTTTTTGCTAAAGGAAATATATCTTGAAGCGTCTAAATACGCTTTGCGATATAATCCGTCTTTTAATCGCTTTGCGCAAAACAAATTAATTAGCTACTAATTCTCATCTTTACGATTCGATGTATGATTATACAGGTATAACGCGCGCGGCTTTGACCTAAACCGTAATTTCCCGGACTATTTTAAGCAAAACAATAAAAAGAGCCAGCCGGAGACCGAAGCCGTTAAAGAATGGGTCTCGAAGATTCAGTTCGTGCTCTCGGGCAGTCTGCACGGTGGTGCGCTCGTGGCCAGTTATCCCTTCGACAATACCCCAAATTCGCGTAAGTTAAATCACCTTGGTTCAGTTACCGTTTCGCACGCGGAGCTAAAATCGTTAAAAGGCGGGCAGCGTGGCTCGCTCGATCGTCCTCGATCCGACTCCGAGCCACGGAATCACACAGAGTCGTAACACTCCGCTTTGTCGTAATCACGATCGTCCTCTTTGCGAGATGTGATTCTGAAAGAAAAACGAACAAAGACAAAAACAGGAAAAGGAAAGAACAGCATTACTATTTTTTGGATGCAATCCTTCCAGCGTTTCGACTGGCTCGATTTCAAATTTGTTCCATTTGTATTAAGCAATTGCAATTAACAGACAGATTACAGACAGTTATGACTATAGCTGCGTACAGCTCTGAAATTATCATGATATATTATGTAAACTTTCATGCCATCAGGAATATGTCGATCGGCGCCACTATGTGCAGGTATTGTGCAGCATATATGATTATCTTTTATTGTTAGTATAAGCGACTTTATTTACTTTATCATTTACTTGCAAAACGTAAAAAAACATTTCAGAAGTACGATTACTTTCGATCGTAATGTTGAAAAAAAAGATAAATAATAAAGTTTACGGCTTCCTACGAAAATTACATTAAGAAAATAACTGCTTTTTAACTGTATCGGTGAACGTTCGAAAATGAAATATTTGAATGCACAATTAGACATGGCATGAAACGCATACCTTGTACAATTTTGCTCTGAACAAAAAAAATAAAAAAAGAAAGATAAAAGAAAAAGAGCGATAAAGTTACAAATGCCTCGACATTTCCATTAAGAAATCAGAGCCAAAGATTTAAAAAGAATGTTAAGTGGGAACTGAGACACAACTTGCAGATTACACAAATCATCTTCGTGTTTTCTATCTACATTGGATTATAGTCCAACGTTTAAACTGCATTAACAATATGATATAGAGAGAATAGTGTTTCAGAGTTTCACGTCGACGCCGAGCGTCTCGCCGGATGACGACGTATTTCAACATTTATCGTTGACGTATTCTCGAAACCATGGATCTATGTATCAGGGATTACCCTGTTCTCCGTCTCAGCCCGCATTTAAACGTGGAATTACTAATGGCGCCGAATGGTATCCGCTTACCGGTGGAATGCAAGATTTCAACTACGTGTGGAACGGTTGTATGGAGATCACCTTGGAACTTTCTTGCTGCAAATATCCCCCAGCCGCGGATCTACCACATTACTGGGCGGAAAATCGAGCAGTGAGTGGCTTTTTGTGAAGTGATGGAAAATAAAGATCGTATATACAGCTTATAATTAATGAGAGAGAGAGAGAGAAAAAAAGAATAACAGATTCGGTTCGATATCTGATTTTTTATCTTACTGCATACACTCTAAAAAATATCAGTGTGAATTTAACGACACTTCTCATGTGGATTTAACACCCATGCGGTGTCTACAATTCTCACTGTGTTGGTACTAATATTACCACCAACATGGGGTAGATTTCTCTGATGTTTATCTCAACTATCAATACCATCATGTGAATTTAAAACCCATAGTGTTAAATCCACATCATATTGGTTATTCTATTCTTCTTTATAAAAATAATATACATTTATTATCCTTTTATTATCTTTTTAGTCTTTAATCAAATTTCTGGCGGAGGCTCATAGAGGTATTCATGGTTTTGTTATCGATGAAAATGGTAATCCCATCGAAAGGGCTTCCGTTAAAGTGAAATCACGAGATGTTAGTTTCTCAACAACGAAATATGGTGAATTTTGGAGAATTCTTTTGCCTGGTGTTTACAAGTTGGAGGTACGTTACGAAATGTAATGATAATAATCTGTCTGATACAATCATTCTCTTATTATATTGTCTTTAGAATGTCAAAATTATGATAAAATAAGGAACTTAATAAGAGACACTGTGCTATTTAAATATTTAAATACCCACGTTATATCATGGGTGCGTTCCGAGTTACGCATAAAGCGCATGATGCATCATTTGTCCTTGTTGTTCACCAAATAATAAAGAAGGATAAAACGATACATCACGCGCTTCATGCGCAACTCGGAACGCATCCCATGTTAAATCTGATATCGTATTTTTGTCAGGTATTTTCGAACGGGTATATACCTCGTGAGGTTGAATTTGTAGTAATCGAACAACATCCAACGCTTCTTAATGTTACCCTTTACTCGGTAAAAGTAAGTAATGCTATCAGCCAAAAGATCTACATTTTTATTCGTGTATTTTTATTAACTATTTTTCATTAATTTAATTAAATATATATATGTATATATACATATACATACTTTTTATTTGTTATGTTTAAAAAAAGGGAGGAGGATTGGATACCTACAAAAAAATCTATTGCCACATTCGATATTTTATATGTTTTAATTACTCTTACGTCTTAACATACATTAAAATTCATTATATTTGAAACAGAGACAATACGATGAGGAAAATGGGTCTGTTTTATATAACGGAAACATCGGTGGAAGACCTTATCCACACCGCGACCATACGTTACATTATCGACCTCAATCAGGAGTTAATACCGCGGCCGACGCCAACAACGGTATCTTCTCGTCTATCAGTAATGGATTTAATAACTTTGTGACCAATCTCTTTGGATAATCTTGTGAAACACATATACAAATAATATTATTTATTTATTCTATATTATTTTATCGTGTAAAATGAAATAAAACATTAAACTTAGTCTGCCAATATTTGATAGATAATTGGTGCAAAGAAATCGTAATCTCCGATTAATCGGCAAGATACTGCCAAACAATAATGCAACCTAAGTTATTATATTTCATATTAAGTTTGATATCCCTACGTTATAAAATATTTATGTATTCATCAGGAATGTATATTAAGAAGTGTACTTTTATTCTATTTATAAATATATAAACACAACTATGTTTTTATTTAAATGTTTTGTAGAAGAAATAGTCAATATAATTAAATCCCTTATTCCATTTTTCTAATAAACTTGTTATTTGTTATTAAATTTTATATCTTTTGTTTACAGTGATCCTAAAATACAGTTGTCAGAAAAAAAAGAAAGAACAAATATGTTATTCCTTGAAATGCGTAATTGTTTGTACAATAACTGTAATCCATATTGCTGCGGCATAAGCTCCAGCATCCATTTCCGTCAAATATTGAGCTTGTTTTATATAACTAGCTCGTCCCGCTCTGTAAACAAATGTATCGCTGCATTAATAATTACAAAAAGTTTAGTATGAAAAAGTGACTAAATTAAAAATATTTCATGAAAATTTATATCGTTTCAAATTAGATTTCTCTAATTTTTAAAAAATATATATATATTTTACACATACACACACACACACATACATACATATGTATATATATATTTGGGTGGTCGTTAATAATTTTTTAAATTTGATCAATGATCAATTTGGATCGGTGGACTTCAGTTGGATCTCAGAAAGTACTATATAAGTATAGATTTATTGGAAAAATGTTTCATAAAAACGTTGTAGGGTTTTCAACAAATATATAATATTATACTTTAAACGTTAAAGTATACGGATTGTCTTATCACAGCATTCATATCTATTCACCTTGGTTTCATATTTCTCGTAGAATAGCATCCTTCCCATGCTGCTGCTGTTATTTTCTCGTAAAAATCATTGGGATACTTCTTTAACAATTTCTCATACATCTTATACGCCGCATACATTGTATCGATCTAAAAATATTGATTGATAAAAATATTAATTGAAAATTCTCTTACGTTTTTAATATAGGTCCATATACGTCTATTCCACAGTAAGTGGAAATTGATTTTTTTGCAACAAGTAACAACATGGCACAGGTATTAATACTGTAAAAAAAACCTTCTATTCTCTAATAATGATATATACTTTAATAATGTACATATATGTGTATGTGCAAACCATAGTCCTGTCTCTTTCCCTCTTCCGTATTTCTCTAAACAATTCAATCCGCTGCGGAATGCGCAAAACCAAACATTTCGCATATCCTTCTCTTGCTCGAATGACGCCAATATTTTCGCGCCAGTCGTAAAAAATAAACAATATAGAGCTCCAGAAGTCCCGCCCATACATTCTTCCGCGATGTTCGCTATTTCCAACAGTAACGTCGCTGGATGCGACAAGGATAAATTTTCCAAATTACTTAAAATACCTATAGAATGTAAAGAAAGAGAGAGAGGGAGAGTTAGTAAACTCTTGTTGAACATCACTTGTAAGATATACATCGTAATTCGTATATGCGTACCGTTGGCAAATCGTTTCAATGTCGATCCGCAATCTCCATCTCCGCAACCACGATCCAACCCGTTAAGATACGTCTCTTTCTCGATAATAGCGACACAAGCGTTTTTCAAACACAATTTAATCAAGCGTTGGTCGCTCACATTTAACAATATTCCTATCTTCTCCACTTTTTCTTTCTTCGCATCTTTCAATGGAGTGCTTAATGGAGTTAAAGTCGAAGGAATGCTGTATGTGCAGCCTGGCCAGCACGGTGCCATAGTTTTTTCGTCAAGACAATCGACGAATAGGTCCCCATGGTTTTCGGTCAATTTTAGCAGACTTATGTGTATCCCGACGCTATTTAAGGATGTCATTAAAACACCTGAATAGACGCGAACAGGCTGTATATCTATCTTTTCTGCATTAAGAAAAATCAAAGTAAGACCATCTTAAATGCAATGTAGTATAATGATAAATTAAAAATGACGAATTGACAGAGAAAGAAATTACTTATGATGTGCTAATTATTTCACACAAAAACAAGAAAAGTCATTAATAGTAGACTAGTTACCAGACACTCTCATGTTCCGGGAACAGTTTCTGGATTTTTATGTGCTATTGATATCTAATAATTTAAAATATGGCAAACATTGAAAACATTTTTAATATTAAATTCCAGTTTACCTATAATATATATTGTTAAGCAGAATAAAATAATATATAAATAGTTTTATGCATGGACCTTTATTTAAAAAAAGTTGAAATCTGTCCCCGGATAGGATAACTGAAAAATAAATGCAAACGATTTCTTACGATGAAATGTCTTACATGGCCGGAAAGGCAAAGCTTAGAGGTCTCTTTGAGGTCAAAGAATGTAGTCAGCAAAGAAACGTAAATCAGAATATGGAGATATAATAATTATATATATATATAATTATATATATATAATAATTATATATATATAATTATATATGTATAAATGATGATATATATAATTATATATGTATAAATGATTAGAGACTTGGGGTGCTTTTTCTTCTCTATAGGTAGTTTTATTCTTTTTATCATACAACGAACTAAATATCGGTACGATCTATCGTTAGTCAATTTTTGCTTGCATGCAAGGACTTATCACATTACTATTTTTTTATTTAATAAAAAAAGAATCTTATGATAGACAAGTCTAATAGATGTCAGTAGATTCAATAAGCAATCGATATAGAGATTGGAAAACCCTTAAATTTATATAATTTTTTCTTGAGAATGAAAAAAATGGATTGATTTATCATACTGTATGTAAGCGACTCACATATTATGTTTATATATATACATATATATGTGTATGAAAAAGAAAAAAAAATAAGTACTCACGAAGCTGATTTACAACCTCATAGACGATTATTCCTTGTTCCAATTGACTTAAAGCACCGAAATTGTTGACTATAACCGCGACCGAGTCATTAGCAGACAAAGATAAGGCCTCGCAAATGCGCTTTAGCATTAGCATCACTAGTTCAGATGCGGTCCTGAGTTTAATTCTCTCGTATCCTGCTTCTCCGTGCACGCCCATTCCACACTCTATCTCATCCTGTGCAAGCTCAAACATGAGACCTTGACCTGCACATAATATTCTCATTGTCAGATTGAGCATATCAATGCAGAGTTATTCTAAATAATAATTCTAATTATAAGCTGCAAAGTATCGCAGACACGGCGTATTCTTTAACCGCGGCAGTATAATAAAACTGATTTTCCTCTTGACAAAAAAACTTGTTAAAACTCATCTGAAGAGAATTCGCTTCAAAATATTTAATGTATATATACGTAGTACACCAAATACATTAAATTTTCTTGACATTCTCACGATAAATAATCTGAGCTTTTAAATTTAAATATAATTATCGTAACTATATAACGCGACTTGAACGTAACGGTAACTTATGTCTTTTGACTGATTGTCTCATACCTGGTATTGCGCACGCGGATAGTCCGACTCCGTAAGTCGCGATATTTTGTGAAACGTGTCGTGCAATTTCAGTTACTTCACACAGAGGAAAACCCTTTTCGGCGAATGCACCCGCAATTTTGATAACGAACAGCATGCCCACCAGTCCGCGCTTACCAGCGACGCTCTGTTCGTTTACGGGAATACTGCAGTCATCATCAACGATTACCTCCTCCACCTGATCTTATTAAGGTATTGTACATAATTTTCAAATATATCGATAATTAATTTTAAAACATTTAATTTATATCATTCTTTGCGGATAAAAAATGGAAGATTTTCGTTTTACCGCAACGCCCGCTTGCCGAGTCTTCTCAATTGCTATTCCAAAATTCAGACGATCCCCTGTATAATTAGGTACCACGACCACAATACCATCTAAAGGAAGGTATTAATGTACGTGTAACTTAATAAAGATTACTTTTTAATAATAAGTATGTAAAGTAAAAAGACCTTTGTTATTTTCTGCAATACACTGAATAGCATATGTGATATGAATAGATGGCGGCGCTGTAAAAATAGATCCTGCTACGGAAGCTGTCAACATACCGCTGCCAACAAACCCTAAAGAGATATAGCAAAAAATTTTCATACGTGAAGTTTTCGTCCTTCTGAAAGCTTTTATTAATGACTATTTATATATATCTAAATATCTCTAATTTAACAACATACAGATTATATACAATTGAAATATTATTCGCAATATTTTTATTTTACTTTAAAAAGAAGATTTTATTTATTTTTACGTAAATAAGACAAACGAGATTTATATTGATTGAAATTTCAACTTAATTCAAGAAAACGCAATGTGTGTGTGTATATATATATATATATATTGTTTTTTTACCTGCAGCAAATGGTTCGTGTCCACTACCGCCACCGCAAATCAAGGCTACTTTACCTTTACGATCTCTATGCTGAAGTATATATAGATATACATAAATTGTATTCAGAATTTTAAAGAAACATATTATTCATAACAAAGTCGTGCAAACTATTATTTGATCCAGTGATATGTAACTAATTTAAATGAGAGTATCCACATTAATGGTATTAAGATAACAATGTAAACTTTCGAATCAAATGACATTAGTCGTCAAACTTGGAAAATTTGAAATATTATTTAATACGCAATTTTTACTTTTCTTCGACACTCTCCCTTAAGTGATTTAAACCTTTTAATTAAATTTTATAATTTGCACGAGCAAATATATTACAATGTAAAATTTGTTTCTTTAAAGAAATAAAAAATTAAGAGAGAAAAAGACAGAAAGAAAAAGAGAGAGAACTTTCTATTATTTTTATAAGACTGACGAAGAATAAAATTACTTTATAAACGTATCTGTTACCCTTTAATTATAATAAAGTAATAGCATTATAGAAATGTATTTTTATATGTATACATACATCTGGTGACAGTACAACTCTGTGCGATGTATGATGTTCTAATTGTGGATAAGTATGGGATAATCCTGATAGAGTCTCGAACACGGCATCGTCTAACAAGTTAATTAAATTCTTTGACGTCGCCATCGTGAGTCACGGTCAGATAGAGCACCAACCTTGAATTCCACGTCAAATAAATGAGATAAATTTCAACAAGATCTGTAAATTCAATGATCCCCACCTTCAGATCCCGGGTTATCAGAATGCTTCA